TCGCCTCTTGTCACGTTAGCTGAACTGTTTTGCGTTAGACTGGAAATGCGGGCCCGTCCTCAAAAGGCCCGGCTGCACTTCTCCACCTTCTTACTCTCTCTCTCTGTACACTGTCCTCCGTCGCTCTTCATGCCGCCTCTCAGCCCTACTTCTGGCTATATACCTGTCCATGTCCGACACTTGTATTGTCTGTTTAGGCGACCTTGGCGAAAGCGCCAGTGATCCCCTCGAGCCCGTGCCAAGCCCCAACACGACCGCTACCGCTACCGCTACCGTTACCGCCGTAAAGGATGTCGGCACTGCCGATGTCGTTGTCCAGGTCAAGGATGGGTTCGTTGATGAGGATCCTGGCGAGATCGCCCAGTTATTGCCTTGCGGCCATATATTACACAATAATTGTTTGAAACCATGGGTCGAGCGGGCCAACAGTTGCCCGATATGTCGTCGGAACTTCAATATGGTTGAGCTGAGTGACAGGGTCGGCGGTACGTACACCCTCCTATAGATCATGATCGATTTATCGACTAATCTTCTTTTTCTTCGTGACTTGTTTAGGCCCCGTGAAATCGTCGTACGCTGTCCAAGATCGGACTCAACAGGCCGACGTTGACCCATCCATGCTTATCGAGTATATTGAAGACGACCTCTCCGACGTCCAACCCTGTACGATCTGTAATGAATCTGATAATGAGGATGTCCTCCTATTATGTGATGGATGCGATGCACCCTCCCACCTATATTGTGTCGACTTGACGGAGATCCCCTCGGGATCATGGTATTGTACCCAGTGCGACTCTCAACGTGCGCTTGGGCCTATCCCAGACACCGCCGTACGCTCAGTTCGCTCAGCTCGCCGTGGAACTCGCCGCACTCGTGGACAGCAGCGTCAAATGCAAAATACCAGCCAGATGAATTCCCTTCACTGGGCTCGCGTTTGGCAATCTGTTTGGGATCATTTAAATCTCGATTTAGATTTCCCGTTCGACGATGACCGATCGGCCCAGCGAGTTATGCAGCAACGTCGTCGAAATGAAGCCAACCAGCGCGAGTTTCGTGCATGGCAGCGTCGATTCGAGGTTGCCGAACAGCAAGGCGGGGGTAGACGTTTTCAAGATGCTGCCCCTCTGCTCGACATTCAACCTCGCCCGTCGCGACCTCGTGTGCCCAGAGAACCGACACCTGAGCCAGAGTCCTTGGAGGAGATGCGAGCATGGAATGCATTTGAGCGTGCTCGAGAGATTGAGAACAACCCGAATGCCGCTCGGAAGCGCAAGGAGCCGACCATGTCGCCATCACCCGAACCAACTGAACCACAGCGGAAACTGAAGCGACCTCGCACTCGACGGCCTCAAGAACTGGCTGCGATGGCTCAGCAGAATGGCGAGTCCTCACGAGCGGGGAGTTCAAATGCGCGCCCAACTGGAGAGATGACCAGTGAACCCAGCTTCCTCTCCTCCCTCTTGAAAGAGGTGGAAGATGCATCAACTCCCGAGCGCACCAATTCCCATGGACCGTCAGCCGCTGCCTCCGTTGCCCCTGATCATGGATCGCCTGGGCCTTCTTCTCCATCTATTTCCCCATCTTCCTCGAGGTTCTCATCTCCTCGCCTTGCCTCAACAACGCCTCCACCGTTTCCTCGAAGCCGTCCAATATCCCCTCTCCAACTCTCTTCTCCTGCCGAACCCTCGTCTCCTCCTTTCTCCCCCGAGGTTTCATTCTCCGGCAGCGCTCACTCCTCTCCTATCAAGAGCCGCAGCCCCCAATCAGAGCGCGAGTCCAGCCGCCCACGTTCACGCATTCCTCGCCGGGCCTTGGAGCTTGCCAACTCCCGCTCACTGGATACATCTCCCACCCGTGCTGGACCCTCTCTGGCCGTCAAGTCTGACATTCAAAAGATGGTTGGCACCTCTCTCAAGCCTCACTACCGTGCGAAGACTATCTCCAAAGACCAATACACCGAAATAAACCGATCCATCTCCCGCATGCTATACGAACGCGCCGGGACCGCCGAGTCCCTTGACGTGGACTCCCGAGCTGACATTGCAGCGGCGGCCAAACACGAAGTGCAAAAGATGATTGATTCACTGCGCACTCACAAGAAGGACAAACATCCTATGGTGGTAACCAGCGACTCGGACGGCGATGTACTATGATTCTAATGACCTTCCTCACTCTTCGCATTTGACTGGCGTTTTCTTTCGAAGCAACTGGATTGTGTTACTGGTGTTGTGTCCCATTGGAGTTTCTGCTCTACACACATTTGAGATGGAGTAAACTTTTTTATTTTCTACCATTAGCGATATTAACTTGGAGATCTGATCTTTTCACATACCCTTTCCCCGTGACCCTTTTGGGTTTGAGGATTCTACATCTTCTTGGTCTGGCCGTTCTATTCCGAGGTGATATACTTGTCTAAATGGAATTTCACTGAACAGCTGACCCTATTGGATTGGCTCATAATTATATGCAAAAAAAATCTTTATTGTAAATTTCAAGTAGAATCAGAAGCTATAGAAACAACTTGAAGCCCTGAAGGTTACTGCATACTTCTACAAAATGTACCTGAATTGGGGGTTCTGGGGAGAAATTAGCCGAGCACACAAGAAACGTCACAAAACGGTCCTGGGATGGTAGAAAAAGAGAATGAGAAGAACATCACTCTCCTGTATGTATGGACTTACCGTTTTATCAGTCAAATCATCTTGATATGCATTTTCGTACCCTTCAGCCACCCCCGACTGATCTCGCTTCCGGTTTTCCCAGACGCACACAAACCGATAAACCAGAACGAGGATCCCAGCCGCGAAAGAAGTTACCACCACCGTGATAAAACCAGGTACATATCGTGGCGCATCTTGCGTCTGATAAACAAGTGGTCCAGTAAAATTACCTGCACCGTAATTAGCATACAATAAATAAGTTTCTCAGCGGAATGAAGAATCAAAACCATACCAAGACAATAGCCAATATAGAGTCCCGACGAAGCAATCGATCGCTTCGTGTATCCGGCAATATTAGCAATCTGCAATCCCATCAAAACAGCATAGCCACCCCCAATAGCAGGAAGAATGTAACAAGCGAAGAGCAATCCGCCCGTGGCATTAAGCGGCAAGGCGACGAGCAGAATCGCCGCCAGGGTGGTTATCATCTGCGCAGCAAAAACGATCCACGCACGCACGCCATTATTAGAAAATTTATAAGCTAAATACGGTCCGAGCAATTGGTATGTTCCGCCAATAAATCCTGCAGGGATGACCAGGAGAAGAGAATTGAGCGTGTTAAACCCGAAGGAATTGATGATGATGGGTGTGAAAGTAGAAATGGGACCGTTGGCAATCATGCCGAGGAAAGCGATGAAGAATACGAGCCAGAATTTCAGATCGGTCAGAAGTTCGAAGACCTGGCCCTTTTTATAATGTGTGTTGCGCACGCCGGAGTTATTGACGCGGAGTCTAGCGACGGCGATGTAGCGCTGTCGCTCGTTGAATCCTCGTGCTCGGATTGGATCGGATGGGAGGAGGAAGACGAGGATTAGTCCCCAAATAATGGTTACTGCCCCGGCGACGAGATACATGTATTTCCATGGCGAGAGGGATCCGGTTATGTGGCCCAGGCCGTAGTTAATCAGAGGGGAGAAGACGGAGACGTAGCCGGTGCAGCTGTACCATATTCTATGGTGGGTTAGATTATCATATCGTGAATGGGGAATTAAAGGGGATATTCACCCCATGCGGAATGCCTGTTCATTCTTTTTATACCAGCCGCCCTGTGTTGTGTGAGCTTTTGAACCGTGTAAATGCGAGATATCTGGTATCATACTTACCACAATGAGCATGAACATTGGGCTGACCCCGGCTTCCAGCATGCCGAGAAAAAATCGCTGAACGTATAGTGTCTGGTAATTGAAGCAAACAGGAGTTAAAATCAAGCATATCCCCCATAGTGTGATGATTCCCGAAGCAACACGCTCGATAGGGAATATTTGGGCAAGTGTCATGGCAGGATATGCCCCAACCATAAAGCCCAAGTATAAAATGGCAGCGGAGAAGGAGTAGCGATTTCCAATTTCCAATTGCAGGTCTTCTCGGAGACCAAATAGTGCCTGAAATGAAGAGTCAGAACGAGTGGAGAAGTAATAAGTGTTGTAAAAGACTTAGTTACTGCTTGTGAGAACATGGCCTTGTCGTAGTACTGTAAGCCATAAGTCACGCATAGAATTGGCATTAACTTCCAATCAATTCGACGGAGGACTTTCTTTTCTTCTTCGTTCGTCCAGACTTCATCGCCGGTGTAATTTGCGAGGACTTTGATAGCCTCATCGTTGTGAACTGTATCGAGGGTCGCGGATTTTTCAATTTCAGGGAGATCAGAGCTTGAGCTCTTAGTTTCTTCTGAAATAAATCCCTCTTGGGGTTTGTCGGAACGAGTCATGCTGTTTAAGTGGCCCCGTAGACCTCGCTTGTAATACTGACGGGGTAAGGTTGGGGATGGTCAAGTCGGAGATGGGGGCCCACAGGAGGGTCGGCATCGGGAATGAGACGGTTCAGATGATTTTATACAATGAAGAGTAAAGTGCGGCCTTCCGAAAGCTCCCCGAACTGTGCAGCCATAGCAACGAGTGCCGAGTTGATTCAGTCTTACCCAGAAACTTTTACCCCGGGATTTCATGGCGTCAATCCGGGGTGGGGAATTGGGACTGAGAATATGACCGTTGCAGTTTCATGAGTTGACTATAGCTATTGGGTTGACGAATGAATTTGCGAGGTGAACGAAACCCTGAAACAGTAGCCGGAAAATGACGTTTGAAGCCGATGCCGGCTGGAGACTAAACGGACAGCCGGTATTGATGGCGTGGACCTTTTCCCGTGCGAGGGGCTATTGGCGGGGAATCGGAGACTGGGCGAGAGGGAAGATAAGACAAATTTCTATTCATTTTGAGATTCTAATTTTCTATACTGATATTTGGATTTCTCTGACGGAGTATCAAGCTAGACTGCAAAATGGCCGAAGCTTCTACGTTCACGGCGCCGGCTGGGCAAGCCATCACAGTGAAGCTCATTAACACAGTAAATTTCGGACCTGCACAGCTACATAGATTTATGGCGCCGCCGGTTCCTGGAATGGAAACACATCCCAGCAATCCGTCCTTTTCATTCCTTTTGGAACATTCGTCAGGCCGAAAACTGGTTTTTGATTTGGGCATACGCAAGGACTACCAAAACTATGCTCCTAAAATTGCAGAGTACATCCCGACGACAAAATATCAAATTGAAGTGACGAAAAACGTGATTGATATTTTGGAAGAAGAGGGAATCAAAGGGGAAGATATAGAAGCTGTCATCTGGAGGCGAGTTCTCATGGAGAGTGTGTGATTGCTGGTATACTGACAGGTCAAATAGCCATTGGCACTGGGACCATATCGGAGATCCTTCTTCGTTCCCTACTTCAACCGACTTAATTGTTGGACCAGGGTTTAAGGATGCGATGCTGCCTGGTGCGCCTCAAAATCCAGATTCGCCATTGAGCGAGTCTGCTTTCGAGTAAGAATTGCCGAATCCAGGTTTGCTTCGAATTCAATAGCTTAACATATCCTAGAGGGCGAAACCTGCGAGAAATAGCTTTTGAAGGTGGATAATGTCTGAAGATTGGTCGCTTCAAAGCATTCGACTATTTCGGCGACGGCTCTTTCTATCTCCTTGACAGCCCTGGCCATGCTATCGGCCATTTGTGCGGGCTTGCCAGAACAACCGCCAACCCTGATACATTTGTGCTCCTGGGTGGCGATGTTTGTCACTATGGGGGGCATCTTCCGACCCTCAAAGTACTTGCCTGTTCCTGAGTCTATTCTACCAAATCCCTGCCATCCACATGGAGATGCCACGTTCTGTCCTGGCGGCGCATGGGAAGAGCTCCAGCGATCGCGGGGTCGAGATGTGAACGACCCACTCTTCACTCCGACATTCGGTCATGACATTCCTCAAATAATTGAGACAATTGGAAAATTGCAAGAAGCAGATTGTCTGGATAGCGTTTTTGTCATTATTGCTCACGATGCCACTGTTCGGGATTCTGTCGATCAGTTCCCATTGAGTTTGAATCGATGGAAAGAGAAAGGATGGGCCAAGGACCTCAAATGGGCTTTCCTACGCGATGCCGGGGTCTACTGGAAGTCCAAAGGTGTAATCTGATATTAATAATCCAGCATATGATAATACTAGTATATTCGGATTACTATTTTATGCCCTTGGTACGCACAGTCACTAGTATCTGGAATGTGTCTGGCCGGCATCCAGTCCGGCAAAAAGGTGATCATAGTCTAGCGACAACCTTGGAAAGACCGATTAGATTGATAAGTGAAAGTTTTCAACATGGGAGCAATACCCGAGAGAAAAATTACCAGAGCCGACTGGGCATTTAATCTCGGCTTCATACAAGCGCATACCGGATGTGGAGCTGGAGCTTTCAACCCCGCAGATCTATGTACTTCCACTCGGCCCGGCGGTTCACTTTTCAAGAACCTGCAATGTTTAGACGCCAGATATTGATAAAACGAACTTCGAAGTCATACTCAGCCTGATAAATTAAGACATAGACAACGACAGCTTGCTCTTTTATAACTTCACAAAGACTACACTTGACTGTCTACTCGCCAGTATGGGCAGCATCGAGGAACCCAGCTTTAGTGAGCTGAATAAAGACCTCGACTATGATGTACTCATCATTGGAGCTGGTCTCTCTGGCATGTATTCTCTTCATCGAATGCATCAGCTTGGGCTTCGAACAAAGGTTCTCGAAGCGGGCGGCGATGTCGGTGGAACTTGGTACTGGAATCGCTACCCAGGCGCACGATTCGACTCTGAAAGCTACTCATACAATTTCTCATTCTCTCAGGAAATTCTTGATGAGTGGAACTGGTCAGAGCATTTTGCCTCTCAGCCAGAAACTCTACGATACTGCGAGTTTGTATGCAAAAAGCTCGACTTGCGTCGAGACATGCAATTTGATACGCGGATCACAGCGGCATATTTCCAAGATAAGACGAATTCATGGCTTCTCAAGGATGAACAAGACCGCCAATATACTTCTCGTTTTCTGGTGACTTGTATCGGAATATTGAACAACTATACTATGCCTAACATTCCAGGTGTTCATGATTATGAGGGAGAGGCGTACCACACAGCCCGTTGGCCAAGTGTTCCTGTTAGCTTTGAGAGCAAACGGGTCGCTATTATTGGAACCGGAGCTACTGGTATTCAAGCAACCCAAGAAATCGTGAAGACGGCTAGTCATCTTACCGTGTTCCAAAGGACACCAAACTGGAGTTTACCTTTACGCAATGCACCAATTAGCCCAGAGGAGATGGATGAGATTCGGTCTCAGTATCCTGAAATCTTTCGAAAATGCGCAGAATCATACTCCTGCTTTATGCATGTCTCAGATACCCGCAACACTCTCGAAGTGAGCCCCGAAGAGAGGCAGGCGTTCTGGGACGATTTATACGAGAAGCGAGGCTTTGAAAAGTGGCTGGGCAACTTTGGGAACATTAATACGAACAAGGAGGCCAATGATCTATTTAGCGATTTTGTCGCGAATAAGATTAGACAACGTGTCAAGGACCCTTGGACGGCGGAAACGCTAATTCCTAAATGTCATGGTTTTGGAACCAAGCGCGTTCCCTTGAATCCGGATACTTTGAGGCTTACAATCAACCGAATGTGAGGTTGGTTGACGTGAAGTCCAATCCCATTGAATGCATTTCAACGAAAGGCATTCGCACTCGAGATGAAGATTTTGAATTTGACATTATCATCTACGCAACCGGATTCGATGCCGTGACTGGTTCGTTTACGGCAATCGATTTCCAGGGCGTGGGTGGAATCAAGTTGAAAGATCGCTGGGTCGAGGGGCCTCGAACATTTCTGGGATTGTTCGTTGAAGGATTCCCAAATATGACTATGGTGATGGGTCCACATCAGATGTTTGGAAACATTCCGCGAAGTGTTGAGTATGCTGTCAGTTGGGTGTCGCGTTTCATCGAGTATTGCCGCGACCATCACGTTACCTTCGCTGAGACAACTCACCAGGGTGTGTTGGACTGGACTGAGCATGTACACAACTGTGCGGTCGGACTGCTAGCTAATGATGTTGATTCATGGATGACAGGAGTCAATAAAAATCTGGCACATAAGCAAAAGCGGATTATTGCAAGATACCAAGGGCCAGCTCCCGGGTATAGGAAGCGTGCTGAAGATGTAGCGACGCGGAACTACGAGGATTTGATAATGAAGTGATGCACTGAGATTAGTCTGATCATCCATGTTGAATGTGAACAATACAAATCACTCTATGGGTACATTTCATCTCTCGCAGTAGTATCGTTAGATCTAAATTAGAATGTATGTATGAGCGAAGGAGTCTAGTAGTTAATGGTAGTATTTATCGAACCCAGATACAACCAGTGTTCATGCACGTAACCTGGCAGTCACAGTGCTCTAATAAATTCAACGAAGCATCCTGCACCATATATCATTACAACAATCGTTCTTCACATAAATAAGTTTGTTTCAGTGAGAGTGTCGCAAGGCTCGAATAGATCTTGAAATTGAAGCATTGCGTCGGCAAAAATATCATCATCAAAGAATAGCTCCTCCGTATGTGGAATCAAAAGCCTGCTAGCGACTCCGCTGGTATGAGGCGTGGCGAATGGGAAATATGTCGTCCAGTCAATACCGCCTGTAATTTCCATGTACGCAGTCCCGTCACCCATACCGAGCTCCGGGCCAGGTGCCCGCTGTGAATCCGAATCTGTCGCCGGTGCACTCGGTCGTAGACGACCAAAGCCTGAATGAAAGACAGCAGCTGTGGGCCACATCACTCCTAGCTGATGTACTGCTAGTGTTAAGATGTCTAGGTCCTCATTTGCACTTTTCGCCAGACCATCAATACGCAAAGCTTGGAGCAAGGCGATGAAAGCCGTACCACAGTACCATCCCGTGATAGCCATGAGAAACCTCGTACCGCCTCGGGAGAGAATGTCTCGCATGATACGAGCCATGCATGTTGCTGCTAATATAGCAGGTGGATATGCCTGTGGAAGAGGCTGCGAGGAAGACGAGCGCTTGAGGTGGATGATGATTATCACAGCAAGGTACGGAAGATGAAGTTGATGAACATCTCGGTTGAAGGCGGAGGTACGGTCTGAACCGATAGGAAGTTGCATGTGTGGTGGCAAGGACTGTACCCAGCTAATAAGTTCACGGGCTAGATGTGTAGGGAATGCGAAAGATTCCGAATTACAATTTCTGGAAAGATATTTCGCAACCTTTCCTATGATAGCACACAGTCGTACCCAATATATGAATACTTCTGCCTTTGGGTGATCCATCGTACTTGAGAAGTCCCCTAAGGTAGGTTCTGTGAGGGTGCAGTCTTCTGGATCGATAACGCATGGCTTATTCTGACAGAGAGCAGTAAGACGTTCGCGTGCAAATGCGGTCCACCATATCCGTCGCCGAAGACTTAAATCAATTTGCTGTCGGAGCGGATGATCAGGTTTGGGCTCACGGTGCACACCAAGCTGTTGACAGTGTCGAATAACCACAGAGGTCCACCACCATGAAGAATGCCGGTGGAGAATTGTAGGTGGCCGGGGACTCCACCAGTAGAAAAGAGAGATTGCCTTGAGCGAGGTCATCACATCCGGCTCCTCATCATCGTAAAATCGACTGCGAGCTCGATCATAGTAAGTGGCTGGCCCATCATGAGGGATCATCGGAGGTTTGATGTGGCTACCGACCATGGCTAGTGAATTTACAAGCAGGGGTGACATTGCGAGCTCATCAGATAGGGTATCCCGATCGAGGACTGGGCACCAGGTATAGCAGTAGTCGAAATAGGTCTCCGAAAATGTTTGCTGCAGACCTGGATCTGGAAGACTTGGAATCACTGGGAGTTTCTCGGCGAGCAACCGTTCCTGATCTCGTGCATTTGTCTGGAGCTCCGGGAGAAAGACATGCCCGACTGGGTAACTGTCATTATGCTCGGAGTGGTCTTCAGTTCGCTGTGTTGCTGGCGAATCACTGGTCGCACTTGGGATTGATATGGTGGTTGCCTTTAGAGCCGGTTGACCGGAAGGTAGGTAACTCATAGATGGTGACCAACTTTCGAAATCAGCACCCCTAGATAATGCACTCGATATGGACTGTTGATATAGATCACCCGTAGGAAACCCATCCGGGCTACCATGCTGCTGCAGACCGAATTCATTCGAGAAACATTCAGAGTCGGTTTGCCCTGCTGCATTCGGTGTTTTGCTTTGCCTTGGACGAGAAGGTCTGACCCGATCGCTGGCATTGCTATCCGGTGGGGTCAAAGGGCGGGTAATAGTGGTGCTGGATGGTCGACCTCGTCGAGAGGGCCTTGTCCTAGAATCAGTGTATCAGCAGTGATGCATGACGCAGAGATCATCTGCAAGAGGCCAGGGATATGGCGCCCTCACCGGCAGTCTTTCCCGGTAGCCGCGCACTTGCTGCAGTCACTATGTCCCTGCCCACCGCGTGTTTGGAGATCACATCGAATCTACCAGGGTCACCAGAAGCTCACTTGAGTTTCGCTAGAAGCCTACCTTCTTGCTGTGGCACGCAATGCAAGCTAGTTCCGCACGTCTTCGTTTCGGCTGTTGGCCAGTGAATGGCAGCCATAGCGAAGCCGACATTATCTTGGTGGACTCCACACTAGGATGGAAGAATGCGAGAGACAAAATCTTGACAGTGAGCAGACTACTGACCAAATTCCCCCCCAAAAACAGAGGAAAGCCGAAGCTGCGACGGACAATTCTTGTGATGTTGTGAACTTGTGATGCGGGGGAACCCCAGTTTCTCCGCAATTTCTACTCCCCAGAATCGTTCTTGGCTAGCCCCAACGCGGCATTCTGACCGAAGTCCATACAAAAAGAAAATCCACTTGATAGGCGTTTAATAATAATTCAATGAAGAAACATCCGTAATAATTTTGATATTTTATCTAGACAACAGCCTATTGCCTACAGAGCTATGTTGAGAATCCTATACTGCAGTAAATTGACCTTGACAAAATGTTCGATCGTCATTGCCAGGCGTGGTATATTACCGATTGTAAGAAGCCGGTATTGTAACCGAGTCTCACCTCCTGGTATCTACCGATGTTTAGCATATGATTGCACTCTGGAATTATCATATGGTTCGGCTATTATTCGCTGACAATGTGCCTTCGGGCTCATTCGCCGAGAGAAATAAACGGGAGAATATCCAAGCCGGGAAATTTGGCATCTTACAAGCTTGCAACATACTACCGAATGATGATCCGAATATATCTATAAATTCTAGTAATTTGAACAACAAGAAAGGAACTTTCATTTTGAAACCGCGACAGAACATCCTTCATTCTAAAATTTCGACCGAAATGACACCACCAATTGCCACGGGAACAGATGGCGAGGTGCCGGGTGAACCAGGCTTGAAGAAAGTCAACGGAGCAAATGGAGTAAAAGGCACACAGAAACCAAGTCCCTATACGAAAGGTCACAGCATCCCGGATTCGGAAAATGACTTTTCTATTCCACTCAACACGGAATACGCTTACAAACCTCGCAAAATACGAGTAGTAACCATTGGAGCTGGCTTCTCGGGATTGTTGATGGCACACAAAATTCAGCATCGGTTTCCGGAGCTACAAGAATTCGTCGACCACACCATCTATGAGGCTCGAAGTGATGTCGGTGGCACCTGGCTGATTAACAATTATCCGGGTGTTCAATGTGATGTCCCATCACATATCTACGCGTTTCCATTCGATCCTAATCCCAACTGGAGTCGTTTTTATTCCAGTGGGGCGGAGATTGAAGAGTACATCAAAAGCACAGTGGAAAAGTGGAATCTCGACCGTGATATCCAGCTAAATACAAAAGTAACTGGCGCCACGTGGGATGAAGACACTGGAAGATGGAACTTGACAGTTGAGCATAATGGGGAGCAACGGGAGGATTATTGTGATGTTTTGATATCAGCGCAGGGTGTTCTTGTGTAGGCTGATTGACCCATTAATCTATGCACTCGAAAGCTACAATGCTAACACCAATTTAATAGCCACCATTCATGGCCTAATATCCCAGGTCTTCATGACTTTAAGGGTCATATCACACATTCTGCACACTGGGACCACGGTTATGACTATTCCCATAAGCGAATCGCAGTTATCGGGAATGGATCATCTGGTATCCAAATCACACCTCAGATGGCCAAACTACCAGGAACTAAAGTGGTAAATTTCATGCGCAGTCCTGCTTGGGTCTATTACCGAGTACCCCCATCAAAGCATCTCAGGAAGGGATGTCGAAGACGCCAACCCGGCTTATTCTGAAGAGGAGATATCGATGTTCAATGATCCAGAATCCCACAAACAGTATCGGAAGGCTATCATTTCGCGAACCAACAAAGCTTTCCGCTTGGTATGCTGTCCTCGGAAACACTATAAATTGCATATTTCTGACATGAATGATTCATAGTTTATCAAGGGCGAGAATAATGAGGCGGCCGTCAAGTTTGGTGCTCAACAGATGGCAGAAAAGCTCAATCATGATCCTGATTTATGCGACAAACTTATCCCTAAATGGGAGGTTGGATGTCGCCGTGTTACTCCTGGACCTGGATATTTGGAAGCTTTCGCAAAGCCAAACTGCAATCTGAGCAATAGCACAATCACAAAGATCACTGAGAATGCAGTGCACACTGCTGATGGAAAGATCTTTGAGTGTGATGTTGGTACGCAGTAGAACCACAATGATTACCCTGAAAAACACTGACTCTATTAGTTATCTGTGCAACCGGCTTCGATGTCTCTCATCGCCCCCATTATCCAATTGTTGGACAAAATGGAACAAATCTGGCAGACAAATGGGCCGATGAGCCACAATCATATTTATCGGTCGCAACATCGGCTTTCCCGAACTACTTTATCATGATGGGACCAAATTGCCTTGGAGGCCATGGTTCTCTAGTGGAATCACTTAATTGGACAGGCGACTATTTTGTCAAGTGGATCAAGAAAATTGCAACCGAAGACATTAAATACGTGGTACCAAAGAAGTCAGTTGAAGATGCGTTTGGAAAGTACGGCGATGAGATCCACAAGACCCTGGTCTGGACAGGTGGCTGCAAGAGTTGGTACAAACGCAATCGGGTTGATGGCCGGGTAACAGCTTTGTTTGGAGGAAGTGCCATCTTGTTCAACCAGATGATCAGTGATATTCGACCGGAGGATTTCAACATTGAGTACAACAGTATAAATCCTTTCAGATTCATGGGGAACGGGTTTACTGAGTACGAGATGACGGAGGGGAATGACCTATCATTCTATGTAGAAGTTGCAGATGAAGTCTCCTCGGGTTGATACACGTTTGAATACTTCTTATTGTTTTAAAGCTGCCTCATTTCCCTAGCATTCCTCTCTCCCGGTATTGACAATGATATAATCCCCACAAGTATGCCAAGAACCGCAATAGATATAGTGTTTGAAGTAGTCGCGAGAATTGAAGAGAAATAAATCAAGTGAGTTCATGCCGCGGTTCCTTATTTTGGCTGTGTAACAGTATAGCCGAAATAAGTGCGGGGAAGCCGAAGAAATCGGCAGTCCTTTCTAGGAAACCAGAAAGCAATTATATTCGTTATCGTAATCCTAAATACCACTCAGTGAAAGGTAATAACTGGTATCGAAAAGAGAAAAACCAGTCTCAATCACATTTCCGCTAAAGAAGCGAAATATTTTCCACGGCCTTTTCAATTTCAGTCGTTAAAATGGGTGACAATATCCGCCCTTCTACGATGTATGCCTGGAGAAAGCACAAGGGGAATAGTGAACCAGTAATTTTATGGCTTGACCGGCGAATCTTGCTATGATGAATCTGCTAACAGAGTTGTCAGGTTTGGGAGGAGTTACCAGTCCCAGCTACTCCACAGGATGGATTTCTCATCAAACTACTAGCATCTGGAGGTTTGAACCCTGGAATGGACTGGAAATGAAATGAAATAATTGCTAATTATGTAACAAACTCGGATAGTATGCCACAGTGACCAACCTTTGCTTGAAATAGAGGATAGGCCAAATTTCAACGAAAAGTATATTTTGGTAAGGCCTCAAAGGCTAGATCTATTGTCACTAGTACTAGGCTTACCCTCCATTTCACTAAACCAGGGTCATGAAGGATGTGGAGAAATCATCGAGATTGGAGAAGGAGTGAAAAATTCCAGATTCAAATTGGTTAGTCTATCAATTTACCAACTCGGTGACCGTCATGCAATTTGTACGATTTGACCGAGACGTTGTCATTTTTAGGGTGATAGGGTGGCTTTATTGGCAGTTCCTGGATGCGGACTTGAAAGCTGCACAGAGTGCTCGCGTGATTTATCTCAGCTCTGCTCGGCAGGGATGCACCATGGGATTGGCCAAGATGGATTCTACGCAGAATACACAGCAGTCAATGCTCGCGCTGCGATCCCACTTCCTGAAGGTGGGTTTTCACTACCAAAAATGATTTAAGTTATTGGAGTTCTAACTACTAGTATCATAGGTATACCCCCCTGCCGTTGCTGCAGTTGCCACAGATGCCGTGACAACGGTTTATCACGGCATCACGCGTCGAGCAGAAGTCAAGAACAATGAATTAGTATTTTTGTTTGGGCTCGGGGGTCTTGGTTTCAACGCGCTCCAGATTGTACGACATATCGGAGCTCGTGTTATAGTTTCGGATGTGCGTCAAGAAAAGCTAGACGCGGCTTTATCTCTGGGTGTTCCAGCAGGGGATATTGTACCAGTCGGAAAGTCAGTCCAATCTTTTGTCCAGGAAAACGGGCTACAGGGAAAAATTGATACAGTACTTGATATTGTCGGCAAACATCAGACGTTTGAAGACGCTCAGCAGATTGGTAAGTTTGAAATTTCACACGCCACATCACTCCTCTGACGAATAGATCGTTAACTCATATATCCGGTGGTGTAGTCCGCATCGGAGGCAAGATTTTATGCGTGGGTACATTGGATCGTAGAAACGAGATAGACATGAAAATAGGTATCCGGAAAAGGTTGGGCATTATTTTCACATATGGGGGCCAGCAGCGTGACTTGATGGAGGTGCTTGATCTAATCAGTCAAAAAGTTATACAACCGCAAGTTGAGCTGGGCAGATTGTCCGATTTCCCAAAGGTTTTGAAGGACCTAGGAAATGGGAAAATCAAGGATAGAATGGCTTTAGTGACCGACTTAATTGATCCTTGATTAATTATCGCAGTCTTCACAATTATCCAATCTCTTACTCTCCTCTTTTTCTCTCCATAAATGATGTCTCGGACTCAGCCTAGTTTGTTAGTTAGCTCAGTACTAAAAAATTGGCATGTTTTTACTCAAAGGCCTGTACACCTGGATTGCGAATCTCTGGGGAACAAGGGCTTTACCGGTGAGAGAAAGGTAGAAGATATGAGCCACCGTGAGAAACTGTGACCTACAAGAAAATTGCGGATAGCGGAAAGGTAATCCAATGAATAAGCTACTCATGTTGACAAACACCACATTCATAGAAATACATGCCATTATGGATACCGTAAGATTCAGAATCCATGGGGTAGAAGACTCGAAGATAGCAACGAGGAAGGAAAGAAAAAAAACCGCGATACAAGGAGGGGTATAATGATAAAAAACGTCAGAGCATCTGAAATCGCCATCACAAAAGAAAATCGAGATTCCGCATTCATTTCCGAACAACCTTCAACAACGGGGCAATCCGCGCCCTTTTGCTCAGACCAATCCGGTAGGGTACCTTACTGGTGGAAGAAATCGGGCTATGTACCTTGTGTGGCTTTGCAATTTGAGGCGTTTGTGGAAGGGATCCAGCCGCAGTCTGCTTGGTGACTTGGTCGAGCTGAGGTGTTGACTCTGATTCTTTGCCGAGCGTGATGTCTTCTTTTTCTTCACCCTTCGGGGGATCAGGGATAAGTGCGTGTTGTTCCGTGGCCTCGGGTAGGGTGGGATCTTCGTTTTTAGACTCCAGCTGGGGGTCTTTGGAAGCTGCCGGAGCCTCTGTCTGCTCGGCTGTCTTCTTCCGCTTGCGCCCGCGCTTCTTAGGCGCTGGTGCTGGTGCTTCAACAGCTTCATTCGAAACGACAGGGATTTCGAATTGAATTTCCCCTGAGACTTTTGATGCCTCGTCATTTTCATTGACATGGTTTGTCGTGGAGTTGGCATTTTCCATTTCTAACGGCCTCGATTCCACCCAAATCACATCGTCATCGTCATCCACTTTACCAGCCTGATGCAAGGTCTCAAGAGCAGTCTTACTCCTCTTGATTTTCTTCTTCTTTGGCCCTGGCTTTGCTTGCTGCGCAGGTTGCTCTGACACCACAGCTTCGGATCCCTTTATGGTCTCTTGGGCGCTTGCTTCATCGGCTTGTCGAGTAGCCTTTTCCGATTTAGAAGGACGCCCCGGCCGTCGCTTCTCGGGTTTGGCTTGTACAAAGCCCGAATCCATGATCATAGCAAGCTCATCATCATCATCGTCATCATGATGTGGCAGTGGCTGCTTCTTATGCCGACCGCGCCTTTTCACGGAAGAGGCAATATCGGGAGCGGCGATTTGGACCGCAAATGCCGGCGCAGACAGTTCATCAACTGTACTAACCGGGGAAGTTGGTGATATTATTGCGGCTTGACCATGGTCACTTTTTGATCGATTTAATTGCGGCGAACGAACGGACGAATTGGGTTCTGTGTCATGCGGGGAATTCCACTCTGTGTGCATGGATTTAGATCGCTGAGCGGGTTTGTGGAAATTGATGTCGTTCGAATGTCCTGGGACATCGGTTGTACCCAGTCCATCGACATCTGTGATCGGTAAGTCATCGTGCGCTGACTCCGCCGGCGTGCTGTATTGATAGCCATTCGTTGTATGCGGCGCAACTAGTTGTGTCCCCTTGTTTTGGATATTGGGGGGAGGACCGGTAGGTGGGAGGTTTCCATTTTGGCCCTGGTGGTCGTAATGCATTGGAAAGGAACCAGGCTCGGAGATTCCGCTCGGGTATGTTGTTGACATGGAGTGATGATGTCCTGTATTGGAACCGTCATCGTCGAATAGTCTTTGCTGCGCCAGTCCAATCTCCGTCATCATTGCCCCTGTGTCTATGAGTGTAAGTATGAAACATTGGAATACCAAGATAGATGGCTCGGGTCATATCCCATGGGTTCATAGCTGCGCATCAACGTACCGATTGATTCCCCGCCGTCGCCTGTAGGAGGAATCCACATTTCCTCCCGTTTTTGCTGAGAAGCAGTTATTGATGCATGAGGCATATCTTGTGACTGCAAGAATTGGTCGAAATCGACGCTCAGCTGGTGCTCTGGCGCGTATGCCTGCTCGGAATCATAGTTTGCTGTGTGTTGGTCTGCGGGGGCGGTCGCGGGGCTCATGGTGTGGTGGAGGCTCTTGGCCTTGAATGGGGGCGATTGAAGCCGAGACGTCATCTTCGACGAAAGGCTCATCCTCATCGGAATCCTGAATGACTCGATCCCAGCTCATCTTGAAGTCGCGGTGAGCAGTTCGACTAACCTTCCTCTGGGGTTGGGTTGGGGTTACCCTAGGGTATCAACGCGTCTGAAAACACGCTGTCACGTGTCGATAAGCACTGGCCTCTCATTGGACGGCTGGAAGTATAACATGGATCAAAGAGGGAAGATTAGTATTTTGTACTATAAAAGGTGAAAATACAATTGATAGATGTCATAAAGAATAGAAAAAGGAGCTTGGAGTCCAGAAACTAGGAAACTTCGTGGTATTGATTTCTCATAGCGCGCTATGCTGTGAGTGTCTCTTGAGATCTCCCACAACACTCTGGTGTCTGACATGGTCTATCCTGTGAGCGACCATCTTGAGATTGCTCATTAAAGGATCCCTCATATCCAGATCCCATTCGCCCTTGAACCTGTGTGAGGGGGAAACTCGCTGTCCATTTCATCCATTCGCTCCGCCGTCCGATTCTTAGTTGACTTAGGCCCAGATATGGGTTGGGTAGTATATTCAGCCTTAGCGCTGGCGAACAGGTTTGGAAAAACAACCTTCAGAATGGGTCGGAGCATAGGCGCACATGAGTTTGAAATTGCTAATGCGGGCTCGGTCACACTCCAGAAAGCAGCCCAAGTCATCGAATAAGGTAGATCTAGAAAGTCGACGGTCGTGAGGACGTGAATGCGGATTATCGTTATCGAAGAAATGCTAGTGTTCAATTAGATCCAATATGAGAGATAACAATCGAGAGATGGAATTTGCATACAATATACCAAGCCCAAAAATTCCGTAAAGCGCCATCTTCGTCCCAAGGGACATTTGCAATTTCCAAATGAAACGGATCGGCAACAACATAATCATAAGATCGGTGACAAGATTGAACGCTCCGATTGTCGAAAATGCCACATTCTGACTTGCGCAATGACCGGGAAGGAGAGGGTTCCAATTTTTGGCAAAGGGCCTACAGATTAAGAAGATCTGGAGTATACTTCCAGTCCAATATGCCGCTGCACAACCCATGCAGGCCCATGTAAGGATGCGAAACTCCTTCGAGACGAAGATTCGCAGATAGAAGAAAAGATAGGTAAATTTGGCCAGTACCATGGCATTGTAGTACACAATTTGGTAGGCAATGAGCATCTTCACAATTGTCACAGTGTTCTCGGGAGGAAGATCGGTAACATGATGTCGCATTCCAACGTGAGCATAATGGAACTGCATGGCCAGCATACCGTAGGTGTGTAGCATCCCAGCCACGCAAAATCCATCATCCCACCATATCTCACTTTGCCGAACGCGCCGGGAGATAAATCGGAGTATCACTAGAAGAGTGGCGATGATGACGAGAATTGTGTTTGCGATGAGCTGGTCACGGACAATGGGGTATGTGAAGATGCCATAAAGCTGCATCGTTCCATCTTTCCCGGCTAGCGAGTCGGGAAATTAAGCTAGTTGCGTAGGAGAAGAAGGGTTCTCTTCACGAAGCTAAAAGCTTATATAGAAGACCCAGCTGTCAACCGGCGTAAAATTGTGACAATTTCCAGGGGCAAATGATATCCATTGATCAACAGCGTGGTGGGCCCTTGGCGGCCCGTTAGGCCGGCCCGAAGGATTTAGTCGGCCCACGAAGGCTGAAAGAATTGAATTTGATTGGAAAGTGTTGAAGTGAGACATTCATTCACCCGGGAAGTCTCTTCTACTTGTCGAATCCTGCAGAAGACCCTCCTGCTATAGTTGGCTTAGGGTGGTCTCCTTGAAACCATTACAGCTGTTTTCTCCCCCTCTTCCACCGGACCTCCAGATAAAACCCGAGCTCGGGAATAAGCAGAAAGAATTGAAATCAAAATCAACATGGAAAAGGACGGATATGATTATATTATTGTCGGGGCAGGCATCGGCGGGTTGGTTCTCGCGAACAGACTAAGTGAAGATGCCTCTGTTAACGTCCTACTCATCGAAGCTGGTGCCAATCGCATGGGAGATCCTCGGATCGACACACCTGGCTTCCTGGGAACATTGTATGGCAACCCGGATTTTGATTGGGATTATATGAGCGTTCCGCAGGTAGGATTATTCATGTCCGTTTCTGTTACCAAATGCTGAAAGATGTGCAGGTCAATGCAAACAATCGACAAATTGGACAGCCTCGCGGGCGTGTCGTCGGTGGGTCCTCCGCTATGAACTTCTCATGCATCGTGTACCCCAATGCCTCAAACTTTGAGGCCTGGAAGGAATTGAGCAATGGAGGTTGGGGCTCGGAGGATATGAAACCCTACCTCCAGAAGTTCCACTCCTACACCTCGCCTAGCGAGGCCACGGCAGAGCTTCTAGGCACAGCCCGCTACATGAAAGACGAAAATCAAGGATCCAATGGGCCTCTGCCTGTGTCTCTTCCAGATGTCTTTGGGCCCTTCAACAAGGCATGGGACGAGACATTCGCGCATTTGGGTTGGAAGACAGACGCCGACCCGATCCAGGGCCGCAAGCTAGGGGCTTTTGCTTCACCATTGAGTGTTGATGCCAAGATGGGGACTCGAGGGTATGCAGCAGCATACTACTCTCCCGAGGTCGCAGCGCGACCTAATCTGCGCTTGTTGACAGAAACAATGGTTGAGCGTATTTTGCTTTCGCAGGAAGATGGAGAAGCTACCGCAACTGGGGTTCAAGTCAAGACGGGTGACGAAGCTTACCAAATAAAGGCGAAGAAGGAAGTGATTATCTGTGGAGGTAGTTTGAACTCGCCTCAACTGCTCGAGCTCTCGGGTATCGGTGGCGCAGATCTTCTCAAAAGCCATGATATTCCAGTAGTAATCGATAATCCGGCCGTGGGCGAGAATCTCCAAGACCATGCCATCACCGCCATCAACTTTGAAATTGCTGATGGCCAGGTTTCGGGCGATATTCTGCGTGATCCGAACGTCGTCCAGTCACTGATTAAGCTTTATGGAGAAACCCGCGGAGGCCCGTTGGCAGGCATGCCTATCAGCATGGCATATCTTCCCTTTGTCGATGGAAACGGCAGTATTCCACAGAACGATATCGAACTACTGCTTTCAAAGCACCTTGACGATGGAAAAGTTCCAGCAAACCTGAACAATCAGTATTCTCATATTCGCAAGATGCTTTCTTCCACCGAGAATGGGTCCTCTCACTATCTGTTCCTTCCAGCACAACTGCATATGAATCCAGGAAAGACCACTCTTACCGATGTCCTGGCCAAAACCATGCCAGAGAACTACATCACAATCATGATGCTCCACAACCATCCATTCTCACGGGGATCAGTTCACATTCATTCCAAGAGTAGCGAAGATAAGCCAACATACGACCCTAACCTTCTCTCGCATCCACTTGATATCGAAATCATGGCGAGACAAATGCAGTACGTGGAGCGCATTGTGGAGACAGAGCCATTGTCGGCACTTCTCAAACCGGGCAAGCGTATGCCGGAAAACACCAGGGACCTGAGCGATCTCGACCACGCTAAGGAGGTAGTCAAGGAGCGGCTGTACACCTGTTTCCACCCAGCTGGATCTTGTGCCATGCTGCCGAAAGAAACGGGCGGGGTGGTTGATTCTAAACTCAAGGTCTATGGGACCAAGAACTTGAGAGTGGTGGATGCTAGTGTTTTCCCGCTTGAACCAACTGGCAATATTCAAGCAACGGTGTATGCCGTTGCGGAGAAGGCAGCTGATATTGTCAAAGGCCAAGTTTAAATGGTTGTCCTCTTTGCGGGAAATGAATGTTTCAACGCAGTGAATCAATGTGCATAGAAGATGGGGCTGAGTATTTATGCTTCCACGTTCACCTTGGAGGATACCAACAGAAAGGTTTACCTGAGTCAGTTATAAGAAATAGAGTTTGTATTGACAAGGCATGTCAGATACGGTTTATTGACATTCACGGAGTCCATGGGACAAGTATCTAAAGAGAAATGAAGAATGCTTATGCAAGATGTGGGTAAAAAGAAATGTAGACAGGATATCATCGCTGCCAAGAGAAAAGAAACGCCTGATGCATCCACGCTACTAGTGAAGGTGAAATGCCAGTATCAATAGGCGCCAATCAAGAAAAAAAAAGTTTGCGTGGATCCAATCAAATGCGATCAAAGATGCAGACAATGCCTCGTCAGAAGATGCCGGGTATCACAAGCCACATCACGAAATGCATCAAAAAGAGCTTGAAACATCAAAGAACACCGCCCGGTAAGTTGATCTGCCCCACTCCAGATGGCCTTCCGCTGTCAAAACCAGCGCTATTGGGAGCCGAGCCAGGGATAGGATAGGAAGGATTGTCGGGGTGAATTTTGCGGAGCATAAACATTGGTTTTCGGCCTTCCTTTTCAAGTTGTTTGAAAAGAAGCAATGGTTTTTCGTCCAATGCCAAGCACCTTTCTTGATCACCATAGACAATGTAAAGGGCGTAGAGTTTGGGGTCGGAGTGGATGTTGTATTTCTTCAGAGCGGCAGGAAGAACCTTGTAGCACGGATCTTCCCATGAAACTCGGAAAGATTTGAATATTTCTACACTGCTGGGTTCCCCGCTACTTCTTGACTCCAGGCGAGAAGCAGAAGACGGTGTCTCGGCACGAGTGGGCGGCTGATTGGGGGTTAGGCGATCTGCCCGAGAGGACGCCCTTGGTATATCTTCAGGATGCTCGTGTCCACGAGAAGTGCTAGGCTGAGAATAAGATCGTGGATTTAGAGTTTGATGCTGGGTATGGCTCGGGGAGGTTGGTGACGGGACGCCGGGCGAGTGTTGTTGGCTTCCATTCATTGATGCTGTCAAATGCGAGGATGCAGCCATGGCTGCAGCAGAGGGATCCAGATTTCCCCCGTCATAGGGGCGTGTTTCATAAATGGAAGGAGGAATGTGGGTTGGCGAATTATTCTTGGGAGTATTTCCGCCCGTGTAGGTGCGCTTGGAGAAAGCTCGGGCGATCTTCGAAGTGGACGAAGAGGGGGGGTTATCGACGAGAGTGAGTTGCGAGGGAGATGTGAGAGTGGTACTGTCGCGGTAGGACTCAGGTACCCCAGCCATTGAGGGTGGGGGGAGTGGTTGCGACCGATCTTTAGCCATTTTAATGACAGGTAAGATTTCCTCCCGGAGCCGTCTATAATCTTCCGCGAGCCGGCGCATTTCTGACTCGACAGTCATAAGCTTTTCATCTCGGCGTTGAATAGACATTATGAGCGCGGCTATATCCTCCTGCGATGCATTTTCACTCATGCTCTGGTCCGCCGCTGTTTCACTAGGTTAGCCAGTTTTGAGAGTTCAACAATGGAGGGGTCCATACACAGTGGGATGTAGTGATCCACGTCTAACTGAACTTGTTGTCTGGTTTTGATTTCATAGACACTCTTCAAGATTGTCAGACGGTGGCCGACACTGTTGATGCCCATTTCCTTCAGCTCGTCGTGCTTTAACGCAATAAGGGCCTCGCCCACAATGCCGTTCTCTGTAGGAAACTCGCGTCAGTACAAGTTCTAGCGGCAAATTAGATGTTCTCACCTCGAAAGGATCCACAGTATTGCAGTAGACCAAGAGAGGTTAGGAATTCCACACATTCGTCAGCTGTCCAGTCCGAGATGATTGACCGTGGGGTACGCGGCCCCTCGCTGGAATAGCCAAACTTGGTAGGGGTGTGTTCGGATGAAGGAATATCGGAATCGATCGGAGAAGCCTCCGAATCTGTTTGTAGATGCGGGGAGGTGATCACACTCCGTTCATACTCGTCATCCGCATCGGAATCGGCATGGTATGAGGTGTGGAGGGACATGGCGGCGGGGGTGATTTTTAGGGGGAGATATGCGACGGGATGAGATGAGGTGAATGTGTACCGATAGCACCGCCAGAGCGGGCGAGTTGGAGGGAATCGCTTTGGACAAAGAAAGTGTGCGATTCAGGCGCTCGATGGGTAGGCAGGCTCAGGTTCGAGTTCTTAGGCGGGCGGCTGGAGAGCGGCGCGGCTAAATTCGAGCGCGTCGGGCAGACATCAACTGACAAAGGGGTACTTTCGATGGATTCAGTTTCGATGGCGAGAAGACGGCCGAGTCGAAGGTACTGCGACGGCGCGATATCAAGCTGGATCCGTAGCTTTGACCCCCTGTGACGATATTGGGCGAAAGACCGGGAGGTTGGTCCGATGGGAGGCGCCGGAGATAAAGCGGGGAAGCTTCGGGGGATGAACAAGTTCCAAGGGTATTGACGTTGGGATGGGAGTATGCGCAAAGAGATCTGAGCAAGAGAGTCTTGCAAATCGGGTTGGAACGAACGACGACAGCTGAAAGGCGCAAATGGAAGAAGGGCCAGATGAAGGTGGAGGTGGAGGTGGAGGGCAAACCTGCCAGTAACGCGGCCGAGGAGTGGCACACGTGATCTGGGGGGTCTGGACTCGGCCATACACTGGAGATCTCTTTTCTCTCTTTTCTCTCTTTCTCACTTTCTCACACACAGTCTCTCTCCCTTTCATCTCGAATCATCCAGGAAACTCCATTGGATAGATGCTGCCTTTGGTGATACACTCGGCAGAAGGACTAGGAGGGGACCTGCAGACGGCCTCTGCATCCTTCGGTACTTGGCCCGCACTGGGACCTCAGGACCCAGTGTATGTCTTAGATCTCGCCCGGAACTACGGAGTAACGAGGACCTTAAAGTAGAGGATCCTAAACACGTCCATGGATTCCTGTTGAGGGGGAATATTTCTCATTTACTAAATAAAGTGGGATTCATAGGCGTAAGATCTGATAGTACCCTGCCAGGTCAGTAACGCCTAGAGGCAACAAAGTTAAGAGACTATTATATCCCACTAAATGGCACAACGATACCCGGTGCCCTAAAGGACCTCTAGAGGATGATTAAAAATGAATCTAGTACTAGCGGTTTCAAAACCCGGGATCTCATCTTGCCCGAGCTTCTAGAATCTCGATCGACGGCTCCAGAAAGATCTGATGGGGTCCAGGAGATTGCAGGACTTTGGTCCCATTCGAAGGTTGTGTTTCAAGGGGAATATTATCCAAGAGCATAGCCCACACTGACGTAGGCCAAAATATTAGAGATTGGCAAAGAGGGCTGGCTGTTCTTTCCAGACGGATCGGAGTGAACCTTGGAAGAATACTAGTAGTTATCCTGAGCATCTACGATCTATACCTCAACGGAAGTTGCTGTGGATTGCCTCATGGGCAAAATGTGACCTGGGCACTCTATTTGGAATGGTACTAGTAGTAGGTATACTAGCAAACGTCTGGAAACAATTGCCTTGTGGCAACATACTAGCTGAGTACTAGTACTATATAACTGGAAGTATCAGTATTATAGCCTTATTCAATACTACCTGCTAGTTACTAGTATCAGTGGACTCGTACAGATCATGATGCGGCGTGCTAGATGCTCAGATTAACTGAAGTAGGTATATTTCAATATCAATTTAATTTTTGAATTCTTAATATCCTCCAAAATTGAGCACTATTGTAATGGTAGATTGTAATGATATATTGTAATGGTACAGTTTGGGAGCTCACCGCCCGCGGCTTGAGGCTATCCACGCTCAGGAACGGTTGAAGTTCTCTTTCTCTCACATCCTCGTCAATTGACCTGCTCTCAATCCCTGGTCCTCTCTTTTCTTTTATGTGCAATGGGTCCATTGATACCCTAACCCCTATTTTTTTTCTTTCTCTCGGTGACCCTTCTGCTGGCCGGGCCTCTCCTCTCCTAGCCCCCAGTTCAATACAACCCAATCTGATTCGATCCAATCCCGAGGAGCCTCCTCCACTCGGCCGCATCTCCGCAATCCGGGTCCAGTTTGCGCAACCACGCCTTGTCACAGCCCATTTAAACGTACCAGGTCGGTGTTGCTTACCAGCAGGGCGTGAAACTGCATCTCCAACTTATTTAGCCCCTCGCTTGGACCTATCATCTACAGCGCTAATCCGGTTGCCGCGTTGACAGGCCGGACCGCGGAACCATCGTCATCCTCCATATCCACTTTTTTTTCTCGCGCGCGCTGGCCTCGACCCCTCTTCAACCTCTCTTAATCCTAATAATTATCTCTTCGACTGAATCGCGCTTTCCCTAGGGGCAGGTTCCCCTCCTACTGTCCATTCCCGCCGCAGACCCCGCGCACTGCAGCCGCCGGCGCATGACCCTCGCCCCAATTTTCGACTCCGAGATCGCTGCGACAGACAGCCCGACGCCGATTGTCACCCCAAGCTCCACGAAAAGGGGGACTTGCAGCTTATATACCAATTCAAATCAACTCCCTTTCAAGGATTCGCTATTGCCAACCCCCGCCAATACCTGACACCATGCCATCCTCAACGCCAGCCGGCACCTCCGCCACCCCCGATGCCCTCGAATCAGACCTCCTCACAAAACTCTCAGCGACATCAGCACTAGAAGATTTGCAGGAAACCTTGCTTGGCTCGCTACACCGTGCCGGCTGGACTGAGCGGGTTACCAGCCTTGCTACCGAGCTCCTTCGCGCCGGCCGCTGCGAGACATTCGACGACGTGATGGACGCGGTGGTCGCCTCCGCGGAGGGCAGATCGCATCCGGCATTGGGATCCAAACACAAATCAGACCATAATGGGACTGCGACTCCAAACGGGACGAAAGAAGGGAAAGCCAATGGGACCAAAAAGGGTAGCAATAAAGACGCAGAAAGTCAACCCTACGACCCAGTAAAATATATTGAAGAGGTGGACGTGCGCATCCCGGATACAGTTGTTGACGAAGGTGTCCGAGGATTAAAAGATATATTGCGGGAAATGGTGGACCTGGAAGATGAGAATACCCCCAACGGAGACAAAAAGTGATTCACCTGCACCTGATGCATATATGGATCTGCATGGAAGCGATTCCTTGATGTGACTTCTTTTGTGTGTGTGTGTGTGTGTGTGTGTTTGTGGAGTATTTTATTCGGGCTCCCGGAATAGCTTTGGCATTGGAGCTAGCATGGGCCCATTTACGATTCCTGGGTTTGCATGGATGAGACAGTTCGAGTTCAATAGACAATTGCATTGCGCCGGGGTTATATCGCCCGAGAATGAAACAATTTGCTTCGCGCTCTTTACACTTGATGTTCCTGTAGTGGTCGGCGGTCATTTGGGGGGGATTCAAATTCTCGTCGAAGGAAACCTTGGGACCCGGCATGCGATTATATCAGGCGATGACTGGTCCAGGATAGAACAGCCTTGGAGCTAATGATCAGCTGAGTATCATTTCAATTAAAAGAGGCATTGAGAACTGAACATCTGGCTATATCTCCCCTAAACCCCGATCTAGACAAATTGAAAGTTCCACGTCTAATTGGAATTCAAATCAGTGCTTCTCTGGTATCCTTGAACCCTCATTCTGTACACCGATTAGAATGCATGCCCCAAAAGACTTCAATGATGAACTTACCCATCATTGGTGTTTCCACCATCCAGGACCATGTAAGTGAATGTTCCCGCATTTTGTAACCTGAGGCATACAACAGCTGACAGGAACAACATTAAGACAAATATCTGCCCACCGCAATATCAGGTGCAAATTGATCTTGTTAGTTTTTATATCCCGGTTTGTGACAAATTTAAAGTAATATGCCTATGATCGTTGAGAGAATTAGCCAGCAGAAGAAGGCGATATCGCGCCCAGGCGGATACTATACCAGTAGAAATACTCGTAAACCCCTGGAAAGTTGAGTTGTGGACTGCGAGTACATCGCCTACGATCTGAATTTGTGTAGCCTTCTGGCCAAGGGAGCGGCTGGCAATGAGAGTATGGCAGATCGTCAGGCAGAGCTGCAGAAATACATCTTGCCAGAGAACAGCTCCAAAAAGGTCGCTCAGATGATGGATCAGATACAAAAGGAGCTCCTGAAAGGGCTGCGGGCCCGCGCAGAGAAGACACTGGAGATCACCCAAGTCCTTGGGAATACCATTGCGCAGAGAGGGATTAAGTACCTATGATAGCAGTACATAGCATACTAGCCTATTCAAATACGCAACCAAAGGAGGAGAGGATATCGCTAAGTCTGAGGCAAAGGATAGGCTCAGTCAAAGCAGTCTACTATTACCACTGAGAATATGTCGCTTGATGACCTCTAAGTAGGTCATACAAACTTTGAGCTGCTTGATCGCTGGACCTTTTTGGTTTACTAGTAATATCCTAGGAAATTTACATGCAGTACTACACAAATAACTGGAAAATACACGTTCATATTTCCAGTCTACCAAGGGCGATCTCCATATCAGATTAAGGGGCCTTAGGTTCAGGCCCAAACTTCTTCGCTGCAGCAATTGGTGGTGTCAATGCTAATTTTTATTAGAATAGCCAGTGGTATTGCAATCTAATTTAGTGATGGAGGCCAACGAGGTCTAAATGGAAATAAGAGCGAGATGGGAACTGAACGAAGATGAGAAGTGGGAATAACCTCATGCAATATCTAGAAGATCTCTCAATGAAATGAAAAACGCCGTGTAAACGGCGTGCAAACGACAAAAGGTCGTGATAAAAGCAAAGCAATGCAGGCAGGGCTATACCCTGGTCCTGCATGCATGAAGTGTGAGCTGGCCATGCCGCCAGGCCTAATACCGATGGAACTCAGGACAGTTTGAAGTTGTATGTAGCTGTTTCTAAGGTTGCGGGTGTGGTATTGCTGAAAAGTGATAAAAACTGCCAGACTCCATAACGTCGTTGCTCCGGAGAGTGAAACTTAGGAGCAATATTAAGCACCTTCCCAACAAGGATAGACTTACCACAGAGAAAGCGAAGATCTCTAATATGACGCAGATCGTTAAATGCCGTTCCTCTTGGCGGGGTGGCTTGTCGCAGCCTAACTCCACATCCGAGCGCAAAGTACCGCGGTTGTTCGCTGGGGATTGTCCGGCAACATCTACTCGTAACTTCCGTCGGACCAACATCATCCCGCTTGGTGAGACTTTGTACACGCTAATGCTGGTGCATAATTCGAATTTGGGCACCGGGCTGATGCGCCCACGGAATCGCGGAGTTACTCCGTAGCGTCGAGTTGTCCAGGGGCGTTTCCAACATCATGACTTTACTTTTGTTGGGGTCGAACAACTTGGCGAAACTGTTGTTAAATTTTGACATTAGTATGATTGCTGGGAGCACAAGCCGGGTACAGTCATCAAAGTTTCAAGTGTCGCACTGACAAAAACACGCATGGCATAAGTCAAGAGTCCAGGGCTTGATTGTGAGGCGAAGCTTTAGAATAGACTTTGAACCGGCGCCACTTTTTCTCTCGAGTGTTGGCAATGTCTGGGCGTGTAACCTTTCTTTATATTCTGGACCACTCCGAGCCTGATTCATGCGGATAAAGGCGAATTAACGGCATGTAGCCGAGTCGATCACACGAAAGTCCTCGGTCCCCGGAAGCATTCGCGGGGAAGAAACCATTCTGGGGCATGGTAAGGCCTCTCCCCGCGTTCTCCCCCACAGAACGCGGTTTCCCGGATCCACTACTAGTCCCCGAGGGTCGCTTCAGGGAGGGATGATGGTGTTGGCCCTGCGAATCAGAGGTTCCAATTGCGTTCAATGCAAGGCACTCTGGACTAAAACTAGATCGGAGCTGACCCGGGGATACTGCAGCCTAAACACCGATATGAAAGATATGGGGTCTGGGGGTTTGGGAGTCTAGAATGACTTGCTTTGGAGAAGATGTGGGGACAGCTCGTTGGAGTTACACTGGGGATAAAAGGGGAAGCGAAGACATAAGGACCAACCCTTCGACTATTCGATACCCACACAAGATTGTCTTTCAAAATACTTTTTGTCGAGGGTCAACTGGCGGCTTCCCAAATTATCCGTCCTGCTTCATTGAAGATTTTCCATCATGTCCGACGAAAATGTGAGCGAAAAGCATGAGGCTTCTACGGCTGAGATGCTGCGTCGCTACCAGACCGCAGAAAGTGTTCTTCTTCCCATCCCTCGGGATGTATTCGAAAAGCTTTATTTGAGTCCTAAAACACCGACAGCGGGAAATCTGCGTCGGACTTTCGGCAACCCGACTCCGATTTCTCTACTCGGTTTCTTGCTAGCTGCAACTCCTGCCGCGATGATCAATATGGGCTGGCGGGGCGCTGGTGGAAATGGTGGTGCTATTTTGTAAGAGTTGTCCCTTGAATATTTTGTCTGATACGAGATACTGATATTTGTTTTGGAATAGACCCGTGTTTATCTACTTTGGAGGCATGGTTCAAATTTTTGGTGCCGTGGGTGAATGGATTATTGGAAACACATTCTCGTGTGCACTCTTCTTTACCTATGGTGTGTACTTGTTTTCGAGTGAAAGGAGGCTTAGAATAAACCGGATGACAATTTGAAAATGACTGATAAGTTCAACCTTATAGGAACCTTCTGGATCGTTCAGGGTACTTCAAACATGCCATTCTACGCAGTCGGAACCAACTACTCACCAACTGGAAATTCTTTGGAGGGTATACAAACACCTGAGTACAATGCAACCGTGGGACTTTATTACGTGATCCTCAGCGTCCTCACATTCGTCTACCTCATCTGTTCAATTCGGACAAATATTTGTCTTTTCTCGGCATTGTTCCTTCTCGTCATCACTTTCGCCCTAACAGCGGCCACCTTCTTCCAGGTAGCGCTGGGGAATGCCGAAAATGCTGCCAAACTGCAATTGGTATTTATAATCCTGATATGATATTTAAGCTTTTTCAATATGCTGGTGCTAACTTCGGGAAATTACAGGCTGCCGGCGCTTTCAATTTTGCTCTTTGCATACCAATCTGGCACATATTTATTGCGCAAATACTCGATGCAGTCGACTTCCCTATAACACTACCCGTTGGCGATCTGAGTACGATTGTGCCTGGAAGAAGTCAGAAAGAGAGAAAGCACCAAGAAGAGTAAGATCAAGATAAATTTCATCTGCAGGGCCCATAACACCTCTAACGACTTGGAGTGATAAACAAATTTTCAATTCCTGCTCAGGTATTGGGTCTTTGTGCCTTCTCGTTTTCTGTTGTTCTTTAGCTTGAAAATACCGGATGTTACCATACTATATAGCTATACAATCAGAGGCCTAAGCTTACTATTCAATTTAATCACCTGAACTACCAGTATGTGCCGACTACTAGCGCAAATTTAGAGTTGCCGTCTTGATGTATTCCCGAGCTTTTATTGACAAAGGGTGAGACTTTTGGAAAATCACCAGAAAATTTATTGGACGCGGTTACTAAGAGGTGCTCTTACTCGATTAACAATTCTCCGACCTCTATGAGTATGATTGACGAGGTGGAGTTGTTGCATTGTCTCCTCATCATAACCCCGCCGGTTTACTTCTTTGGGGTAACCGATGATCCGGGCTGGGGTCGCGGGGAAATGGCCGAGGATGCTAAATGCATGAATTAGCGGGTAGGAAGTCCAAAAGGAATACTTATATTTACCTACAAACAAAACCACACAGGACCTGGAGGAGAAAAATCACGGAATACTAAATATCAGAACAACTTTGCCCAAGATGCCGAAACTGCCTCCCTACGAATATAATGGCCCGGTGGACTGTACCATCCCACCAAATCGCGCGGTTCTAAAAGGCAAGAGTGTAATTGTCACTGGAGGTAATATCCCAATCGTGTCTGTTTGAAGTGGCAACTAATGATCTTTTAGGAGCAAATGGCATGGGCGAAGAGACGGCGCGTGCTTTTGCTGCCGAAGGGTGACTCACCCCCAAACAAAAGAAAAGATGAGAATATTGACAGTATTGGGAGTTTAGAGCATATGTAACGATAGCCGATCTGAACGAGGAAAGAGGGAAGCAAGTTGCGCAGGAACTGAGCCCGTTCGTTCCAAGAGTGTTGATCCCTGAATCCTCGTTAATGCCTAACAAATACTAGAAATGCGCAGTTTGCGAAGTGCAATATAACCTCTTGGGATGATCAAGTCAATATGTTCGAAGCCGCGATCAAGAATTCCCCTCATAAAAGTTGCGATATCGTCATTGCAAATGCGGGAATTAGTCGTGCTTCGGGGGACGATCTGTGGCCCTTGGACGGTAAGTATTTCCATCCGCAAGATTGAGCAAGCTGTGAAATTCAAGTTGCTTACTCGCTTTCTAGACCCAAACTCCCCTCCTGTGAAGCCAGAGCTGAACATTGTGAATGTAAACCTGATTGGTACAATGTATACCTGGAAACTTGCAGTACACTATTTTCGAAAGCAACCGGACACGGAAGACCGAGATCGCTGTTTCATAATTACTGGAAGTATGGTATCTTGGATTGATTCTCCAGTAAGAAAACCTTCTTCATTAGGTATTCTATGCGAAATGCACACACCTACTGATTCTGCGAACAGGCAAACTGGCAATATACAAGCAGCAAGTACGGATTGAGGGGACTGATGAGAACAGCCCGGAGAAATTCGCACCAACAGGGAATTCGAATCAATTACGTGGCTCCTTGGTAAGTATCACGAATTTCCATATAGTTTTAAGGCTACTGAAGAATCAAAAATTAGTTATATCAAGAGTGCTATTCGCTCGGCTGCCTACGAAGCTCAACTGATTTCCAAGGGCGTCGAGTTTGCCCCGCAAGAAGATGTGGCAACGTGTATGATGAAGCTTGCAACAGATCGCACTATCAATGGTAAAAGACCCAGAACTAAGATATCTTATTTCAACTGCTAACATTCCAGGGCACTCTCTTATGATCACTCCGAAATCGGTTGCAAAGGAAGGATACAAGGATGTGGGTATGGATGACCATATTGAGGAGGGATATTTCAAAAGAACTCAAGAGATCCAATTGGATATAATTGAAGACAAATGGGAAGTAGGATGGAGCAAGGGCCGCACCCATGAGGGGGCCAAGAAGGAGTGAACTGGACGCTTGTTGGAAATTAAGCAAATGTTTGCGTTTTACATACAATACAATGCAGAGAATTATCATCTCTAAGACAATCTAAAATATCAGACTTAAAATACGATAGGATAAAAATAGTCTGTGGATTTTCATTCTTCAAGGACTACATGGAAAGCTCGAAATTGGTAATTGTTCGCTAGTTGCTTAAGAGCAATAATTCTATGTCCTCATTCGACTCTATCCAAAACTCCGACTTCTCACTCATTCCGACTTGATCTCGAAGGAGCCAACTTCAGGGCTAGACAACGCCCAAGAAATACCGTTCGTCATAACCTCGTCCCACCTCTTACTCGAGGCAGCCAACTTGTCGCCGTAGCGGCGGAATCCATGAGGGACGCCAGGGAAGACGTGAACATCAGTAGGCACCCTAACTCCGGTTAGCACAAGCTATTCAATATCCCAAAAGCTGGGGGAAGGCCACTTACCCATTCTCATTGAGAAGCTGCGCGTAGAAAAGGCCCTCGTCGCGAAGAGGATCATTTCCTGCAATACCGAAAGTTGTCGGAGGAAGTTCCTTCACCTCTTCCGCGGTGGCATTTCCGGGATTAAGTCTGCGGTCGTCGCCGGTGTTTGTGTCCTTATTGACATCCAGCAGGGACCCAAAGAGCTTGATTCTGTCGATTGGTAGGATTGGCGCATTAGCGCAGCCTATTAGACTCGACAGTTCTGGACTGCGCAATTTGTCTTGTCGCGGGGCATAATAATCTAGCTGGACAAGACAAGGGATCATCAGGACCTGTCCTCGGATTCGTGGACAAGCAGCCAGATCGTCATTGTCGCCGCGATACTGAGCAAGTGTCAGAGAAGCAGTCAACTGGGCTCCGGCTGAGATACCCCCGACCACGACCTCTCCTCCGCGTCCGCCGACCTCGGAGATGTTCTCGTGGAACCAGACGAAAGCATCCTCAACGTCGTTCCACGCAGTCGGGTATTTATATTCGGGCGTGTGTCTATAGTTGATATTGAAGACGACTACGGGGAAATTCTTCTCGAGTTGGTCGGCGACAATGCGAGAGCAGATTGCGTCTTCTGAACCGAGAGTTCCAAAGAGATATCCACCACCGTGGAGATGGATGTAGACAGGAAGGGCATGGGAATAGGAGATGTTCGCTGGACGGTAAGATCGCGCTTCGATGACATATCCGTCGCGAGCAGCAATTTTGAAGTCCTTGGTATGCACCTTTTCAGCTAGGCCTGAGTTGGGACAAGAAGTTAGTTACTAGATCGTCGATGTTTATATGCATGACATCTCCACCCAGCCGCAGATACGTCAAGGTTTCCTTTCTTTTGGAGATCTTCTTGTGCCATGTGATATGCAGGTACTAACCTCGATCAGCGATGCCCTGAGCGGACATATCTTCTCGACCCTTATTGACGATCTTTTTTAACTCCTCGATACCAACATTCGGCATAGCTGGCAAGGTAGGCTCAAGAGCCACCCAGTCTGCACTGGGGGCGGTATATTGCGAAAAGTCAGCCATTACGTTAAGCTAGATGGAGTACGGTTTGCAGAAAGTTGTGAAAAGTTAGGTTAGAGTGAGGGTACAATCGAGGGGTGAGGGGAGAAAAGTGGGTAGGAATGACTTGGATCATTCAGGTACGAGTAGGGTAGGATGTAGTCTCTATCACATCACATCATAGGCCCCGCAGTCAAGATAGGCCTCGGTTCGGCTATGCGGGGGCCAACCCCCCGCAAGGTTGGTCGAAATGGGAATGCCGGTAATCTTTGGGAACTTGAAGCGAAATGAAGGTTTTTAGTCAGTTGGATTTAGATAGATTCTATTAAAGGTTTTATATCTACTCTTTTCTTTTTGGTCGAGAACTAGATCATAACCATGGATCCCGGTATATCTTCCGAACCACCATCTCGCTCTCTGAGTGGTCAGGTAGCCATTGTGACCGGAGCTGGGTGCTTAGGGGATGGAATTGGTAACGGGCGTGCTATATCTATTCTTCTAGCTGATGATGGCTGCGACGTGGTGTGCGTTGATCTCAATGAAGAATGGGCGACTAAGACTGTGGAGATGATATCATCCAAGTCAGGCCGAGGACGGGCTCTCCCATTTCGAGGCGATGTCACATCCGCCAAGGACTGCGAAGCAGCAGTGAACCTCGCTATCGAGAAATTCGGCCGGCTTGATATTCTTATTAACAATGTCGGAATTGGTGGCGCTCCAGGGACGGCGGTCAATGTGGACATGGCGGAGTGGGCAAAAAGCATGGATATTAATGTCGGCAGTATGGTACAGATGAGTAAATATGCCATTCCGGCAATGATTCGCAATAAGGGGGAAAATAAAGGAAACATTGTGAATATGGGGAGTGTGGCTGGTCTCAAGGTACGGTTGTTCTGTCGATCGATCTCACCTATCGTCGCCCCCCAATACTGATCTTCCCAAGGGTGGAACACCTCATTTGCTTTACCCAACATCCAAAGGCGCCATCGTCAATCTCACACGCGCAATGGCAGCACATCATGCCGCAGATGGGATTAGAGTGAACTGTGTTTGCCCGGGGGTAAGTTTACCCTTCACTCCCTGAAGGAGGGCTGTCATTGACTTGGTTATCAGATGCTGTACACACCAATGATGTACGGCAATGGAATGAGTGAAGAAGCCAGAGAAGCTCGCAGAAAGCGCAGTCTTCTCGGAACAGAGGGAAATGGGTGGGACTGTGCCGGTGCTGTGGTCTTTCTGGCTGGTCCACATGCTCGATGGATGACCGGTGTAATTTTGCCAGTCGATGCAGGAACCACAGCTGCAGTGGGGATCGGAATGACCAAGAGCGCCAGTGTGAATGCATAATTATCAGCAATTGAAAGACTATATGTACACATCAGATCCATTTGGCTTTCAATCTTCAAGTTCCCTGGTACCTAACCGAGTACACTTGCTGATAGCCTCCAAGGCCCCTGGAAGATTGGCTATCCTAGTAGAGTATTGGATTATTTACCAAGAGGTCATGGGTATGTAATTAGTTAAGTACCCTATTCATATAAACGAAGACAAAAGAAAGGAAAGAAGAAAACAGCCGAGTCGCCAATAAACGGCCTTTCACATCCACATCGCTACAATCAAAGCCAGAAGAAGAGAGGTAAGAGCTGCAGTACCAACAGTTTGAAAATCCGAGCCCGCCTCTGATTTCCGGCTAGGGGATTTTGGATCCCACGCATCACCATTATGAGGCGTTTCAATAGCGCAATATCCGGCATCTTTCAGACAGCCCTTGCCGCAATGTACGGTCGTGTTTCCACAAACATGGGAGCTTCCACAGCATAAGCCGAATGGAGACCCGAAGCAGGTATAATTAGCTCCGCAAGTACCGTCAACCGAAATTTGCTGACTAGGTCCTTTCTTGGGCTTGTTCTTGGGCTTGTTGCTGTTTGTCCGACCCGGCCAGCTGCTATCTTTGCGGTACCAATTGTCACGCGGGTCACGTAGGCAATCGCCCAACGTCACAGGACGATATCCGAGTCGCGTCATTGTCTGCAACATGTGCTCTGTGAGATTATGAACAGTTTGTTCATGGGCGTCATGACCGATGACGAGCCACGACTTCGTGTGAGGATTACCGCTGGATAGAGCGTCATCGAAGATGTCCTTGGACCGCTGAATCAAACTGGGGTCGTCATTTTTGTAGTCTTCGGTGTCGATATCATACAGGACAATGTGGTAACCCATTTCCCCAAGGTGTTCACGGCAACCTGAGCGTGGATGACAGCTAGAGTAAGGTGGACGCATGTAGGTCGGAAAGCTGCCCATGATATTTCGCAGAGCCGCTTCGTTTCTTTCCAGTTGTGCAGTACGTTGTTTGGGTGTCACCTTGCTCAAATCTTCGTGAGACCAGGTATGACTTGCGACCTGATGACCACTGAGTATCATGCGTTGGATCAAGGAGGGCCAAGGGAGAGAATCGTCGTCGATCGAGCCTTTGCCGTTGTTGATTCCAGTGACAAAAAAGGTGGCCGGTGCTTCATATTTCTCAAGCAGATCGAGAAGGTCTCCTGTGTATCGACTCGGACCATCGTCAAAGGTCAAGGCCACTGTTCCGGGTACAGTGCATGAGCGAATCTCTGTAGGAGCATATGGGACGAGCCCGATGTGAGGACGAGGAATGTCCTTGGTAGGAGAACCCTTCGGCTTTCGATGAGCATCACAGTGGCCATAATCGATCATGCAATCCGGGGAGCGGCAGTGCGCCTTGCTCGTCCCGCAAAAGCCTGCGGTTGGTGTCTGGTGAGCGCATTTCTTTCCCCCACGTTGGATGGATTTCAGAGAGCCTACCTGAGCTCGAGCAGCAGGTGCCGGTGGGACACTTCCCCCATCGCGGGCCACACTTATAGTCGAGATTTTTGGGGTCGTCTCGAAACTGCAGCTGGATGCGACTGGTTTGTTCCGGTGACGACGCAGATGAGCAGACGCAAGCTCCAAGAAAAATAGCGAGGAGTAGAAAGAGATGGTATAGTCGCATCTTGAGACACGGGGGATCGGGTCGGGTGCCAGGTTGTTTAACAGTGGAAGATGATATATTTATAATAAGGGTGCGCTGGAAGGGGAGTAGAAGGGGGAGAGAGGAGAGAAGAGAGGGAAGAGAAAGAATTGAAAGTCGAAAGGGAACAAGGGAAGAGGAAAGAAGGGAAGCCATACGATGGACATGAGGAAGGCACGACAGGAACGGCAACAACAGTACATGCGGAAGGCAGAGATAATATTACAAGTAGTACATAAGTGTATACACATGATGGTATTTAACCCCCTTGAAAAACGTGAGTGTAGTAACCAGTGAATTGACTTGACGCATCCCGAGTAGGAATATATGGGAACTCGGGATAACCAGACAGATTTGTAACTGAGGAAGTTGTAAAAGAGAAACACTTTAAATATCATGATCTATAGTTAACTAGTTAGTGCAGATGACAAGATAATTATTGCCTCAGGCAAAAAGTTTTGCCTTGCTGCCTGTATGCCTTGCTGCCTCAGGCCAGAAACACAACCCCACGTTTGCCTATCGAAGCGGCTATCGTGATACGTTCAAGTTCAACTTCTTGGACAGCTCCAGCTCCAACTCCAACTCTTCTCGCCTCCCACCCTCCTGCCCTCAGCTCCGTTATACACACTCTCATCATGGCGGATCGACAGGTGACCCAGCAGACCATCTTCAGCTTGCTTTCCAAGCTGGATGATCCTGATGCCGACCTGAGATTCATGTCCTTGAACGACCTCTTCGGGATCCTGACCAACCAAAGCTCGTCCTTCCTCACCAGCGACCGAACTTCTTCCACCAAACTCGCCGATGGACTGCTTAAAGCCTTGGACGATCAACATGGTGAAGTCCAGAACCAAGCCTTGAAGTGGTATGCCGCAACCTTGCTTTACAACTCTCGCATTCGACCCGGCTAACCATCCACGTCACAACAGTCTTGGTCCTCTCGCCATCCGCGTCCCGTTCGAAACACTCATGCCTCTTCTCGAGAAGCTGGCCAATTTGACCTCCTCTCAAACAATCGACACCTCCGTCCCTAACACCGCCCTGCGCGTCATCGTCGACACCCTCCCTCGCCCGCAAGCCGGACAGCCAGCTCCCCAATCTGTCCAATCTGCGTACAACGCCGTCTCGAAAGTACTGATTCCTCGACTGACGGGTCCGACTCCATCAACCTCCGGCCGCCGTGGCTCCGTTGTCAAGGGAATGCTCGAGAAGGATAGCTCCAAGGGATTCAGCAGCGATGCCATTGATGTGCTCATTAAGGTCGTCACTTGCTTCGGACCGCTCCTCCAAGAAAGAGAGCTGGATGCTCTTCAAGAACCTGTTATGGCGATTATCCACAATGATACCGCCGGCACCGTGGTGACTAAGAGAGCCTTGGCTGCGATCTCCGCCTTGGTGCTGTACTTTTCCGACAACCAGCTAGATGCTTTTGTGGGCCGCCTTTCCGATACTCTCTCCTCACCCAATATCACAACCGTTCGCCGCCGTCATATCATAGCTGCTATCGGAGTGATTGCCCCGAAGCGCACCAGCCAAACTCGGCCCGCATCTTGACCGTCTGGCGCCATTTGTCTTTGCAGCAGTGGGAGAGGACGGTGTTGGAAATTGAGCTAGGATTGCATTATTAATCTTCGCTGGAAACGAGTTCCTATTTATTGTAGGGGCCAGGGCCAGCACCGACTCTCGGGTTTGACCTCATGAGCCCCCTTAAAACCATTCGATAGACGCATATATCGGATGGAAGCAGGACAGGTTCCCGTTGCATGCAGTGCATACTGCCAGCATTTCCCAGCGAATAGGGCCTGTCCTCTGAAAATATCATCTAGAGGATAATCAGCCTGGCAGAATGAAATGATACCCATGTTGCTTTTTACCATTGCCTATGATTTGGGCTTATGATCAAGAATACTCGAGTTATGGTAGGTTGACACCCATAATCCGCATTCGGACACCCCATACCCTACTTGAGCATAGCATGGTATACAAGTGTGTAATACTAAGCAATGGTCCAAATGGGTGAAGGGGCCTTTTGAACATGATGGCCGGAATGCGACCGAAGAGTGTGATGAGAAGAGGGTTTGTGGATAGCCTTAAATTCTAGCTCAATGCCTAGCAATAAATTGGAAAAAAAAATACTCGAGGTCCGACTCTGGCTTGTGGTACAGTGGTGTTGCAAAAGTTTGAAACCCCCTGCTGACCGTCCTGGTCTCCGCCTACTTGAGGGGGGGCTAGTAGCTACCTGAGATGGGATAGCTTGGCCTATCCCTCCCATCTTAGGTAGCTATTAGTCTGCCATTAGAAGGCGGGCGATAATGGCGAGCAATAGGGGGGTTTCAAACCTTTGCAACACCATTGTATCCCGGCTGGATGGAAATTATCTTGTACATAGTAATGTACTATTAACCACTTCTTGAATTCCAATGGGTCAATCTAATCAGATCATCTCCCCGTCCCACACCCCCCAGTGGACACAACCTTGGAACTCAATCATGTTTGCTACAAGTAGTCCTGGCATCAAAAGCAGACACTATATGATCGACTGTCTCAGCCAGTCATGTTTCAATCTAGATATAGTACTGTATTCTCTGATACATACTACGTCCTCGCAATAGCTCCGAATTCCCACCAGGACACTACAGACACTACAGACATTACATCACCACGCACAGACCCACGGAAGGAACAGGGATATACTCCGAAGTGGTCTGGTCTTACGATGTCGGAGCAACCAGCCCAGCCACCGTGACCATTACGAGCTATTGTTGGCCTAGCATGATGCGTAGTCATGACCACGGCTGCCCACAGCTGCCCGCAGCTCCTGCGAGGCAACTTCCCTCTGAGTCTCCTTCCACTCACCCTATCACGCCGATTTGATTCTTGATCACCTCCTCTCATTCGTACCCTTTCTACCAAGGTTTTCTTGCATTCAAGTTTTTACCGCTTCCTCTTCCTTTTCCTCGTCCACCATGGTATTCGCACGTCGTTCTCTCCGCAGCGTCGCTACGGCCGCCCGGTCATTCCGTGCTGCTCCTGTTAGCCGTCGTTCGGGACAGGTACTTGGACGTCGGTTTTACGCCAGTGGGAAGGGCTATGAGGAGCATGCCTCCAGCGATTTGCCCTGGTATGTTCAATTGATGTTCAGCTCAGTTGCTATTAAATGGATCATCTCAATTGAGTGTTTCGTCCTTGCGACTCGGAGTAACTAACTCTTTCCTTCTTGCTAGGCTGGTCGCCTCCTTGGGTGTCACGGTTCCCATGATTTACTTCCTGCTTCCTGGTGGTTCTGAAAAGGACTCACATGGTCACGGCCACGGTCACGGTCAAGATGATCACGAAGATGAGCACAAGGGCGAGGATGCGGAGAAGGAATCTGCCCCTGATGCTGAATCGGAGGAGGCTGGTAAACCTACGGAGACCCAGGATGCTCCCGCTGAATCTGAAGACAAGCCGGCCGACGAATCCAAGCAATCTGACGAGTCCAAGCCTGCCCCCGCTCCAGCCGAAAAGGAGGACGAGAAGGAGGAATCAGAGCAAAAGAGCCAAGAATCTTCCGAGGAGCAGAAAGATGATACCCAGCAGTCAAAGGAGCAGACATCGGAGTCTGGAAATGACGAGGTGAGTCAATTCATTTCAATCGATCTTGCTCATGCCAGTAGATACTAACAAGTTTTAGGCGAACGCCAAGGAGACCAGCGCTCAGCAAGACAAGTCTGAAAACGACACAAAGCCCGCCGATGAGTCTGACAAGAACGAGAAGAAAGGCGAATCCGAGCCAGCTAAGCCTGAATCGCAGGAGTAATTGCTTGCTGGAGCTCCCACATGAAATCTACCAATGCCATAAACTATGACGTGTAGAGAGTACTTATGAATCGGTCCAATTCCATTTCTGATACGTCTCCTCAAGATCGTGACTACACCTGTTGCCCTCTCAGGCAACAACCCAAGGTTCAAGTTTCCGAGGCTTTTCTTGTAAATTATAAAATCATCGATATATTCATTCATCCGCATTAATCGGAGACTCAATCAAGCCCGAATAGCCAACTCATACCTGGTAAGTACTAGAAGCATGGGTAAAAGTGTAGTGATAAACACAAGAGTCGAATCAGACTGTGCACGAATCGAACAAAAAAAGAAACATGAAAAAAAGGAAAATCCACACCTAGAACTACACCTACACCCCCCGAGCCCAATGCATCAATTCAATTCAATCAGTCAATCAATCACAATCACAGAAATGAGCAAAGCCACCTTCTCCATATAAGGAAGAATAAGACTCGCTTCGAACAAACACCTTTCCTTGAACCATGCGTAATTATAAACAAGGCTTGGCGCTTTTTGATGCGCGGCCACCCAAAATTGGAACCGGGGGTTGAACAAAAATATGAAACGAAAAAGTGGAGACCATATCCCAAGAACGACCGGATGTTGAGAGATATTACCGGTATTGTTCTGGGAGTTCAGCCATCTGGAGAGCGGAAGAGCCGAATTCTTTAGGCCTTCCTGCTGCGCGTCCGGGGACCGCGCTGCTCGGTCACGGGCTCGCCATTTACCATCACTTGAGGCGCTTGGTTCTCCTGCTGGGCGCCGGTGGTCAGAGTGGCCTTGCTCTCGGCCTCGACCTGGGCTTCTTCTTCCTCTTCTTCTTCCTCGTCGTCGCTTCGCTCGTCCTTGGTCTCGCTGGTGAAGATGTAGTTTGCCAGAATGCGTAGGATAAGGAAGAGCCAGAACAGGTTGACGGCTTGCAGACTGGCAAGCAGGCCGAAGGTAATGTATTGACTGATCCAGCACTTGTACTGCTGCGTCTCCCAGTTCAACTCGAAGGGTCCGACGGTGCGGAACTCGGTCAGGACGGCCCAGAGGATCTTCAGGTTGAGGAAGTGGCGCAAGTAGATCCAAACTCCGACGAATGTGCCGAAGTAAGGGGGTGTGATGTACGCATCGAGATAGTTCAGCGTTTTAGAGGTCTATTTTATGATTAGCGATTCGCCTCCAATTGATATTGCCTGCTTGTTACGCGGGTATAGAACACATACCGCGAGGAAAAAGTCCGAGATGTCATGAGTGATGTATACTGCCAGACCCATGTAGGTGAAGTGGAAACGATAGCTCAGCCCGATGAGGGCGAGGGTAATGATGTGGTGTCCTACCAGCTCCTTGAAATCCTTGCGCGGCTTCTCCAGCTGCAGCATCAGGACAATCGCCTGCTGCGCCCAGTAACTAGCCTCGAGCAGATAGTAGGCCTTGAAAAAAGACTCGTGTTCACGGTGGGGGAAGCCCTCAAACATGGCGGTGGTGTTGAAGTACCACAGCGTCGAGCGTTTCATGACGTACAGACCGAACGGACCGAAAATGCCAAAGTACATAGCTGTGTAGACCTGCTCCATGAAGCGGGCGGTCTTACCTCGGCCCTTGATTCCGCACCATTTGGCCAACGGACGAATGACCTGCTGCATCATGAACTCGCGCGTAAAGGAGAGCACGACGGTGTAGAACGCGACGAAGGCGATATCCTTCTTTCCCTTTCCGTACATGATGGGACCGCCGGGGGTCTTCGGGGGTTGCGGGTAGGAGAGGAAGATGGCGCTGTGCATGGGGTTTGAGGGGGTCGGGTTGACGGCGTATAATGATAGCAGGAAGATCATGATCAATAGTGGGAGCAGCCAGGTGTACTTGAGGCAAGTGTCGGCAAAACGGTGAAGATACGAGCGGGTTCGGCGGCGCTTTGAATGTGTCTTGCCGGACTTGTCGTTGGCCTGAGCCAGTATTTGCGAGTCCAATTGCTACATCGCGATCGAGTCAGTCCTAGGGTTCCTTTGCTGCTGAAGCTGCAGCTGCAGCTGAGTGGCAGCGGCGGGCGCGGGTGCGGGCGCAAACGCGAATACCGACACGTACCTTTCCCAGGCTTGGCGAGGAGGGCTCAATCGGACTAACTTCGTTCATGGTGGACAACGCGGGCGCACTGGTGTCGCCGCGAATGTCCACCCCGAGGTTTGAGCTTCCACGAGGGCGAACCATGGTGTGCGGATGATGAGAGGTCGTGGAGGGCGATGCGTGAGGAAGTTATCTCAGTTATCTCACGTGCGCGGTGTGGGAGTAGTGAAGAAGAGAAGAAGAGAAGAAAAGGAAAAGCACCGGAAGATAAACGAGGCCAACCCTCCAGTTCCCTCGTATTCGTATGACGAGGTTGAAGAGTGTTCAATTAGTACCTAGGTTCTCTAGAGTAGTTCCAATAGTTCAGGTTCCTCCTGGTCTCCTTTTTTCCTTTTCTTTTTCCGTCCAACTCCGCTCCGCTCCACTTGAACTTCAGCAAACCACAGCCGAGGTGGTCTTGGCATCAGTATATGTAACATTGGATCTATATCTATGCACATATACATGCAGTATGTATCTATGGAGAAGAACTACTAGCAGAATACTGGTACTTCTAATTTGTAAAGCCCAAGTTGCATAGATCCATACTCCTAAGTTCTAACTACTAATACTGAAGAGAGCCCTCATTGGCCAGTCTGATCTATAAAGTCTGAGAAGACCCTGTTCAATTGATAACAAATCACTAGTAGTACTACCTAAGTGCCAAAGAAAACATCAAATAAACTTGAACTGATCTCTATGATTCACGTCGACTCCGAGTCCGCGTGGTTCTTGCCGCAGACTTCACAATCTCCTGCATCATTGGCTTCACAATGACAAACCTTGGGACTCTCGATCGAAGTATCGACTCAACGTCCTCACGAACAAACTTTGTGAACTCCACAGTGTCAGCTAATTTCATATTAATATTCTCCCAATTGGGATTCAGCCTGATGTCGGCCGTGACATTAAAGTCGATACTGTTGTCCAAAATCGTTCGAATCATCTGCCTGCCTATATCTTCAATTCCACCCATCAAGTTATTTTTTTGCAGTTCAAGAGCTTGAAGAACGGCTGGATTTGCACCGGGTGGTAGTACAGAGCACCTAGCCTCGTATTTATCAGTAATAATCCTATGTTCCTCTCGGTATTGTACTATAATCATCTTAAGGATATCGATTAACTGATGATATCGTCGACTATGCGTCAGTCGAGGCCGTGCTAAATCGACCCATTCATCAAGCATGCCAAGACCGTCTGCATTGAAATGTTGGATAGCCGCCCACCCGGCCAGTCTCCATGGCCCAGGAATCCTCGTGAGGACATCACTGGGCTCATCCGAGATTATATGTGGACCATTGATGATTCGAGTTGCCATCCACGGCCTATTATACCAAATAGCCAAGAAGTGAGGGGTAGCCCGACCGGAAAGTATTGCAGGATATCCATTTATGCCAGGCGTATTCGTAGGAACATCGATCCAGGTATTGATGGTAGTTGATATTGATGCCATGTGGGTGACGATGTTGGTGAGATCGGGACTGTCTGCACGACGCAGTACAGCAGACCATGTATTACGCAATGGGAGGGTAGGGGGACTATCATTCACATTGGCGAATTCAAGCCCGAACTGGAATGCACACAAATAAAGCGCGAAAGATAAATGATCCATTGCATTTGAGCTACCAGAACATTCCCTGGTCAACTCTGCAGGCGGTAATGGCATTGGTTGTCCTCCCACTATTACCATCCCGTGCACTCGATCTATCCAAGTTTCCTCGAGAGATCTATCAGCCACACTCACAAGGCTGGAAAGGATATTGCGTTCTCGAACATCAGGGTTATGCATATACACAACTGCCGGACTCAAGAGATCATCCAGTGACGCATTGTTCAACATATAAAGAAGGAGAGGGACAGGATTATTGCCCCCGCCAGGGTTTGTGGCAGCTTCAGAAATTATGGCAAAGTAATTGGTCGCTGTATGGTCATATCCACTTATCGAGACCGTTCCTGTTAGATGAAGCATCTGGAAACATTCCAAGCAGCAGTCATCGAAAATCTCACCCAGTGTATTATGTTCCGGAATCGGTTGAGGGAGACCTCCCGCGTTGATGCCAGGAACAAAAATATCTGGTCCAGCACCAGCATACGCAAGCTGAGCTGCATCTAATGCAGCTTGAGACGCTACCAAGAACGCATCTGCAGGATCATCAGCTACAAGCTGTGCTTGTGCGAGTACCACTTCACAAATGAGTACTTTTGCGTGGCGAACCATCTCAATCGTGCTGCTGTAATGACCGAACATGCATCTTTGTTGGAAATGGGCTCTTTGAGCAGGTCCATATCCAGCTTGAGCTGAGGCTGCTATGCCTGGTCCCATCGCTCCGGCCATTATTTCTACGATGCCATGGAAAACCTCGTGGGACCCTAGAGCGATCGCTCCATCAATGATATGGGACCATATCTCTATCGGCAGAGTACTTATCGGTGGAACAGCCGCCATGTTCAGGTACTATATAAGGATGTCAGAAAAGGAAGGATCGGTATTGCTATAGAGAGATTTTGCTCTCGGAGGAGATATCGCTTTGAATGTTTTTGTGATATTTGCCCTCGAGCCGGGTCCGATTTTAAGTAGTTCATTTTATTGTCTTCTGAGTATACTTCAGACCAAAGCGTCCATTCAAGTCGAGATGAAAGAGAGATTTTATTTGAAAGGGTGGTATGGAGATAGCCTGAGATTGAAAGAAACCCCTTCGTGGGCCCGGGCCTTGATCTATTCTGTCTTACACATATCAAATGATTCAACTTCCAACGTTGATACTATATTTATTCAAGTTCCTTGAAGTATTCCCAGCTGCACCAAAGCGGATATTTCATAGATATACTTCTTCAAAGAAAGCTTGAAGTACCATGGAACATAGTATCAACCCCACCAGCTCTTATTGGAAGACCTGAAGAACTTGAACAAAGCACAAAGACAACATCAAGGTGATCATATTTTAACCTATCAGAAACTTTAGTAATATCTTACGTAGGGCCTCCATGTGGCATATAGCGGCTGATTAATTTAGTTGAAATGGCTTTCACCTAGAAAAATGAATGGAACGGCCCTATTCAAATGCAACTATAAAATAGGAATGTAAAAGTTAGTTGTTCAACTTGAAAGCCAGGGGGCTATGGGCGCTCTTAATTTCTAAACCAATGTCTGGGGGTATAGACATGATTGTCTATATAGAATATTCATTTTGATCCAAGGCCACTAAATTACCAGGAAGTTGATACATTTGAGCGTCAACCTTGGAAGATACTCAAAGACATCACATAGACTCGGAACTTGAGAGGCTCTTTGATGTCACAAATGTACTCAATGTAATAAAGCTCTGAATGTGAATCGACGTTTCTCAAACCTATCCATAGGGTCATTGTACTGTGTTGCATTGAATGATCTTCGATATCCCGGTTATCCTCCTACTAGCTGACTTGGTCATCGCCAAAAAGGTCTCCTCAATCTCGCCGCGACACCAATTTGAGCCGAGCCAGCAGATCCCTCGGAAATCTCTCTAATGAATCAACCAATGGCCTACCAATGACCTACCTCTCTTCGTCAACAAAGGTGCAGCACGCCGCATTGATTAACCAGCTGCGTGAACTTGAGCGAACCTTTGATGAGTTCTTTGAGACTCTGACGGCCTTGATTCTATGCGCCAAAGCCACCTGGATCGTATTGACACGGCATGGAGCTCATCAATCAAATTCTGCCTCAAATTGAAGGCCTCCGGGTACAATGCATTTTTATTGAATTTGGAGTGAAGCGAGAGGAGGGGGTCGGGGTTGAAATTCAAGTGCTAAGCAGTCTTTTAGGTGAACTCGGACCCCTCTATATGCCCGTGTGCAGTTATGCAGTAGAATTCATGCCTTGACTAGTGAGCCCTTGGAACTTGCTAAAATATTGATCAACTTGAATCGAGAATGGAGGATTCGCTGTTAACTTAGAGCCTGGCTTATAATGAAACAGATCTAGACCTTTAGGGAATTAAAGGAATGCTCATATCATCATGACGGTCTCGAATGTGCGGAAAGCAAAGCTAACCGGTCAACAGCTCATGGGTGGCATTCTCTCTCATAAAGCTAAGTTTACCAGCCACTCTGATCCATCACTGAATGTAACCCATATCTCGGAACGCTCTTCCTAGAATGTCCTGAATGGTCTTATCTTTCCGCTGGGTATAATCCATCATAGAATCCCCAGCAATAGTCGATTGTTCAGCTGCTTCACGTTTCACTTTCGCATACAGCTTCACATCCTCCGGGTTTCGAAGCAACCAGTCACGAAAGATACGATGACGGACAACTTCCGGCGAGTCAGGACCCCACACGTGGAGATTGACATGATATGCGCCGGGCCAATTCTCCACAAAAAACCGATGTTGATGCCATCTGGGCTCGCGTAGAAGAAATCGAAACCCTGCATCTTCGAGTAGCTTCACATATGATCTTTCATCCGTTGCATCTTTTAAAGAGAGGTCAATATCGATGATATCTTTGGCTGGTAGGCCCGGAACGCTTGTGGAGCCGGAATGCGCGATATCAATGATTATATCCCCGAGGGCGTTCTGAATTTGCTCCTTGACCTCTTCGAACCGTTGAGGCCATACTGGGTTGGGCTCGAGGATAGTAATGGGAGGCTGTACCGTTCGGAAGGCTATGCGCTCCACATGTTCTGGTTGGTACTCATAGGGTGCGATGATTTGCGCGACTGTCGGAGGCATCGTATAATAGAATAGGGGTCTTCAAATGACGGGTGAAGATAGGGAGGAATGAGCTGGATTTTATGAGCCGGGATCGCATTGATAGATACTGGTAGGTTTCTGGATGACTCTCAATGGAACGCCTTAATTGTTCACTTCAAGTCTAGGGAGTAGTCATGTGACCCATGGTGAATTACGGAAGATACTAATCCAAGTAAATTTAGTTAATCATATTCACATGAAGTAAAGCGGCATAATTAAACATGGAGAGACCAGAGAGAAGAAAAAAGAAAAAGAGAAATGGTAAAAGAAGTTCCACGCCAACTCCAACGAAATTCAAATCACAATACAACTGACACTTCAATCAAATCGCCAGCAAGAGTCAATCGACCAAGGGCACATCGGAATCAGAACCGAACTCGTTCGAGAGTCGGATAAGTGTAACACATATAGAACAAGACAACACAGAACAAGGCATCAATCATCGCTAGGTGGGGAAACATGGAATGGAAACAGCAGTATCACAGTAAAGGCAAGGGCAAAGGCAATCATGGCATTCATCTATCACAGATTCAATCGATCGGGGTATCGGTATCGGTATCATATCGAGGCGGGAGGGGAACCAAGTCATCAAGTCGGGAGTTGAGATGCCACCGGGTTAAACAGTGGCTCAAGTGGGTGGAGTCAGGACGCCCGGGGTATTTAATAGACGTATCGGCTGGGCGCGTAAGACAGGATGATGGCATAAATAGATGGTGTCAAACTCGGAAGACATGGGAGGTCGTTAGACGGCCATCATTACGGAGTGTTCGGCTCGTTCTTTCATTCGCATAGCCTGAGCTTCTAGGGAGCGGGCCATTAATTTCGTCACTAAGAGCAAAGAAAGAATGTCAGTACTTTGATGAAATCTGAAAATGTCGCGGGAGGGGTCTCACCTGGCCAGACAGCAGCTCGATCCAATAAGCTCGCTGTCGCAATCAATATTTTACACCCGTATCCACCTTCCACCACACTGGGCAATCGTTGCATCACACTAAGGGCAGACATAGAATTGCTATTCTGCACCTGGCGCCGCATCTTCGTTTCAATGCTATTGAGAATCTCCGTGATTTTATCCACCAGCTTGCAATCTTCATCCTCGAGCAGCATTACCCCAGGCACCTGGGTGAGGTCGACATCCTCGCGGCCCAGGATACCCAGGTATGGCCCCACGCGTTCTTGAACGGTCGTGATCCACTCCGCCAGTACTTGTGAGCAGTCGAAGACGCACATAGCGCACTGAATAGGAAGTTCTCTGGATGAGAATTCGGCAAAGGTGTTGCCCAGTCGATCGGACATGGAGATGGAATCAGCGGCGTAAAAAGCTGCCTTTCGGAGATGCTTTTCACGTTTGGATTGACCGGTCTTGTACACGCTGGAAAGAGATTGCATGGATTGGTCTTGGGTCGGGGTTTGTGAGATGGCTAGATCGCCAACACCGAGGTCATTGATCGACTCACGACGATTACCCAGTGAGCCCAGCGCCGAATCAACCGCGTCGCTCATGGCTGTGTCGACTTGGTGGAATACTTCTGTACCCCGCGCAAGCTCATCTGCCATGCCGTTCCAATCACGCTGCCAGAAGGCTTCCTTCGTTCGACCCAGGTTGACGAATAATCGGACATAGGCTAGATCCAGTAAGGGGATGCTGTCTGCTGACAATGGACCTGCGCCAAAGGGATTAGGTCGCTCCAGGCTGTGAACAGAATTTCCTGCCCATGCTGCTTGCCACGCTCGTAAAGCCGGCTCGATGTGCGATTGCATGGCTTCAGTTTCCTGTGCGGTCCATTGTCGGCCCATGTGTCGTTGCCGGGTTTCCCAGATATAGTTATGCAAAGAGTAAATTAGAACAAGACAGCCAAAGGTACTAGGCCGACTTTCTGGGTTCGAAGGGTCCTCGCTGAAGAAGAGATTCGATGATTGTTGTTGTTGCTCTCGTTGGCTGGCAGTTAAGAGAGATGTGAGGGCGGAAGAGAAAGACACGCCCTGCATAGAAGACGTGTGTCCTCCCATCTTTTTCCATGCCTGTGGGGACTCGGCAGCCCAGAGATCCTCTTCACAAGGAAGGTCAAGTCTTATCTCGGAGTTTGTCAGGGCAGGCGCGTGGTTGTATGCAGAGACGAGGAAGCTGGACAGAACAAAGATAGCATAGAGAGTGCGCTTGCGTTCTTCGACTACCTTCCAATTTAACCAGTCGCGTCTTTCCTTCGGTTGGTTGTACGATGGTGATGACCAGTTCTCGTTGTCGGCTGGGTCTGAGTCGGACGTGTTGAAGTTTGCATTGAGGTGATCTTGCGGCAGGTTCTTCGGATCCAGATGATGTGTCAACTCTGCTGCTCGTGCCAAGCTAACCAATGCAGCACAGTGCGTGCTGGCGATATCCGCGGAAGTCTTATCACCGCAGGTGTGACCGTAGATTACATTGAGTAGCATCGCTTGCACCAGCCAGAGCGGAGTGTTGTGGACTGAGCTATCCCGATGAGAACTTGAACGACTTAGCGCGGCGGACATGTCGGCC